ATGCGGGCTCGGGGGCGCTGGGCACTTTCATAGGGGAGCTGCCAATCGTACACCAAAACCTTCCGGCCGTCCGTTGCCCCGGTAAAGGTGTGCCGCTTATCGTTCTCGCTGTAGCTTAGTTTTGCAACTCCCGTGTTGGTGGTCGCCGCAAACCCTATCCTGCGCAAAAATATCGCACCCGTAGTAATTGCAATCATGCATTACAAATTTCCTTGATGTAGTAAATTAGAACTAGTGTAGTAACGAGCGATAGTTTTTAGAAGAAACAGCTAGCATCGTATGTAAAATTGCAACTCGAACTTTCAAAAATGACCTATTTCCACGAGCAATGCAGTTTGTTTATTAACCCCGTCGATTGTGTAGCAACATCGCGCGAGAGGTTTTTTTTATAAACAAGGTAAATCCGCATTACAAATCTTATGTCTCACGCAGAGGAAATTTGTAATGCATTTAGTATACGAGTGCGATGCTTTTGCATTGCATACACCCGCAGTGGCGGCAAATGCACCCCTTCCCCGCCAGGGGCGAGGAAGGGCGCACAAAGCCACGCATGGAGCTGTCAGGTTTGAAATCGTCAAAGTTGAAGTAGTTTGCTATGCATAAAATGCCTGTCTTGCTGAGTAGGCAAGGGAGGCAGATTGTGAGCCTGTTTCGGGGTAGAAAAAGAGCTGCTCAAGCAGCATGACAACAGGCGTCCTCCTTGCCCTAAGAGAGTTACAAACTGCATTCTGACTCTAAATACTCAGCTTTGTCATGCGCCGCGTAGACATTGGGCTTGCAACTGGCATCGATTTTATGCATTACAAGTTATCTCTACTTCAACTCTGCTGATTTCAACTCTGACACATCCATACCATGGCCCGCGAGAATCGTCCACAGGGACTGCAACTCGCCCGGGGAGGCGGGTCTTTTCAGCGGTTTTGCCCGGGATGACTTTTTGGCCGTTCTTATCCTGTGTAAAAACGTCCCCACCCCAGAGTTGTCATGCAAATGTGCAATGACAAGAACATTTGTAATGCGGATGAGCATGAGAGGCATTTCCAATCTTGTTTTGGACTTTGTAATGCTGTGAACAGGATGAGAGGCTTGTTTTCTCATGCGGCTGTCCTTGCTAAACAGCACGACAATACAGATGGAAACTTGTCATGCAAAACTCCCAAAACTTGGAAATTTGTGTTCCAGATTTACTAACTTGACTATGGGGTGGGGACGTTTTTACACAGGATAGTTCTGATGATTGACATCGAGCTCGCGGCGAGCATATCAAAGGTAAAAGGGTCTGGGTCTGGAAAAACATGCTGGCTTTCATGGCGCAGAAGGTGTGGCATGGAAGCTCTAGCGTCACAGGTCTCGACAAGCTTCCGCACTGCCGAATCCGCATGACAAATTCCTCATTTTGGTGACAGAAAGTGTGCAGCTTTTGCGACCTATGCATGAGAGATTTTTCTGTATTCTGAAATGCGCATCACAAGTTTGGCGCTTCCAGACCCAGACACTTTTGCACCTGATACCGTCCGTCGTCAGACGAGGTGCTGAAATCGTCGCAACTCAGCGGGCATCCTGTGCAAAAGTATCGCACTCATAGTGATTGCAGTTGTCACGCGTTACAAATATAAGTTTTTATTTTCTGAAGGCAAACCCGCATCACAAATTCCGCTACCAATGCTGCGGACCTTTGATGTGATGCAGATGCAAAAGCAATTCGTACTAGTTTGATTCTTTTGCAATAGATAACGGCTCTGCCTGCCATCCTTTGGACAAAACCCCCCACCCCACAGCCAAGACTGCACCTCTATCACAACTGCAAAGAAATTCTGGCCCTTGCGCATGACAAATTGCTGCCCTGCTCCTCGTTGCGAAAGTTACAAACAGCATCAAAAAAGCCTATACGCGGGCGGCAGGCCAAATAGTTTGGCCCGGGCATGCAAATACGCACGGCAGGAATGGGGCGGGGTGTTTTTGCAAAGGATACCGCCGCCGCCGCGTGTTCCTGTTTCATGCGCGACGTCAAAGACGGCGGGGGCGAGGCTGGGGCGAAGCTGGGGCGGAGCTGGCGGGCCGGGCGGCGCGTCGGCTCCACCGGCGTGCTCCCGCTCCTCCCGACGGCCGTGCTGACAATCGCCGCGGGGCTGCTGCCGCTCCTTTTCATGATTGCCAGCGAAGTAGTGGTAAAGTCTGAGTAGAAAGGAAAGTCCTAAAGTCGGAGTAGAAAGCAAAATCCTAAATGGAAGCTTGAGTAGAGCACTGTAGCCGGGCGGGCTGAGAACTGAATGTATATAAGGACAAGGAATAGCAACAGTAGCAGTAGAGATTCCAAGCAAGATAGAGATACACACCACGAGAAAACGACACCGAATTCACAAAAAAAAGGAAAAAAAAACATGGACTTCGCGATTGTAAAGCTACCAACCAAAAGAAACAGGAGCAACCGACTCAGACCCTGAGTACAATTAAAAAGTCATGATTTGCCGTGCGTAAAATAAAAAATTCGCAAACTTCTGCTCATCTCATACTCATGCATACGTAGTGCATGAAGTCGAAACTAAATAAGGTGCCTGCTCATACGCCCAAACGAAAAAACAACTCACCGACTTGCCATGCGCAAAGCACAGTTGCAGCTTCAATGTAATTGAAATAATCTTACGGGGGTTTGTCTATACCGAAAGTAACTCACACCGCATGTCCTTCTTCAGTGTTCCCAACTTTAAACATTTCTTCTCCCCGCCCGCCCAGAAACAGCAAGACTTTGCTTCACTTTTCTGGCACCTGCATGCATCGGCTCAGCCGTCCGGAGAAGCTCTGAGCCGTTAGCTGCGGGCTGCGATTGTCACAATTAACAACCACAACGACGCACCCAGGGGCCGCCCGCGTGGAGGACACGCATGCAGGAATTTTTGGCCCCCTAGATGCCACCTGGCGGTGGCATCCGCCATCCCAAAAACTGCACCGAGCAGTTACAAATACGCCACAAGGGCGCCGCACAAAGAGCACGGCGGTGGCACTATGGGCAGTTCCATGGCGCTTGCAAAACGCTAGAGTCCCACCGTGATTGACAAACATAATACATCTTTTGTTTTTTTCTCCTTTAGAATGAATCGAGCCCCGCAGACCCCCGCAGACCCCCGGGGACCCCCGCCCCCCGCAGCTTATAAAAATAACTGCCAACCATTGCCCCCATCCGAGGACCTGATGTCCACAAAGGGGCAAGTACGACCGACGCAAACCGGACGTGGTGTGGGATTCGTGCCGACCACCACCACGGCCGGCGCGGTGGTAGTCGACGTCGGTGTGGTAGTTGGCCTCGGGGTGGTCGTCGGCGTCGGGGTGGTAGTCGGCGTCGCAGTCGTAGTAGTCAGGGGCAGGACGCCGTCGTGAACATCCAGGGCAATACTGGAGCGCTTTGGATAACACTGCAGGTTCTTCACGCTCGAGGGCAATCCTGGCAGACATCAAACAGAAACCTGCGCGACCAGTGCTGTATTTGGACAGCATACACGACGCGTCACATAATTCAGATCACGCACATTTCCGATTTCTGAAACAAAGGGAATGATGACCATTTAGCAACAAATCCATTCGACTAGTGTAAGCCAGACGAGAAAGATATATACTGCTGACATCGGAAATACAAATATACAACGACACCGAGAGATACGCTCATGACAAATCCGGCATGGGCGCGCTTTTCTTTTTCATAGTATACTGCCTATTAGGCCGTCCGGATACATGTTATTTGCGTCGTCCGGAGAGCTATTCTTGGGAAAAATAGAAGTGCCCCCACCTCGTGTCGGGTTTGTGCTGTTTCTCGAAGATTTGGCTTTTCGTAAACAAGTAACGTCGACGTGGAGAAAACAAGGCGACACGACTACAGCGACAGTTCTTTTTTCTCAGCGTGCTGAAAGAGTTAAAGTAATCGCTCGACTGCTCGTCCAACTTGTGCACGCAAAACCAAAAGCAAATCCAAACTAGGCGCCAACGAGTACACATTACTTCGGGTATTTCCGTCAGGGCGGGGGTACTTCATTCCAATATGATATCGGCGCGCCGCCATTCCCTGCACTCCTCCGTACCACCAGATAAGACAGTCGTTTTTTGGGGAATCCGGATAGATAACACTATTATCAGTATAATTGAACGTTCCCGCTTGAAACGCACCGCAGCGTGAGTCTTCATTGCAGTTGCGCTCACACTGGTAGAAACTGAATTGGGCGCTGAAATAAGAAAACACATTGAAGTCTGCACACGACGCACCACCGCACGTGCATATGCCGCGACCTTGGTACGAATAAATGCTGGTCTGGTATCCTGCACAAAAGCACACCCCCGGCATACTCGACAACATTCCTCATGATTTTGACACTACCGCCATTCGATGAAACCCGTCGCCTTTTCTCTAGTGCAGGACTACGGTTGAACCTTAGCCCTGCACAACTAGAGTAAAAACGACAGAGGCGCACTTCCGATTTGCCCACGCGAGGATGACTGACTGTATGTGCAGCGCTGGCGGTCATTTTGCAGATCACTATTTCACGAGAAACGAAGACCCCGCGTGACCGATCGAGCGGCAAAATTGTGGCTAGACAACCAGGCCCTCTGGGGGCCCCCTTCTGTCGCAGGGAAAAATGGCCGAAGGGTCGCTCGTGCTGACCCCCGCGAAGAGCACAAATAATTAGCATGACCATATAATGGCATGCATACAACTAACCTGCACCGTAGCTGACACATCAACATCATCAGAACACCACACAGTACTTACAATCCGTCCAACAAGCTTCGAGGAAAACGCATCACATGCTACCGAGAAGTAGGTGTGCTTCCGTTTTGCATACATCGTGACTTCCACGGACGAGCCACACGCTTTCTAGTGTGAGGGCCGCGCATCCCAGCGAAAGCGCCGCCGATGACCGCCCACCGCGCGGGCACCGCAGCCGAATTTGTGGAGTAGTGGCCTGCTGCATCTCCATCAGTCTCAGTTGCAGCCGTGGCGATTTATCGCGATTATTCAACGCTACCAACGATTTTAGCGTGTTCCCGTCGAAAAAGGACTTACGTCACTGCTTGGAGGATGAAGCAGGCAAGACAAAACTCAAATAGAAATTAAGGGTATCACTGAAAAAGAAAAGAGTAATCAGATTTGTCCTCAGCTCCCTGCAACTGATTCTCTTGCTTAATTTTTTCAAATCGTTTTACGAATGGAGCCAAGACAGCCTCCTCCTGGCTGGGACATCATCCACGTAACACAAAAAATCACTTCGCATTAGCACTTCTTAGCAATAGTGGCACAAGGTCGCTAAGATATCTACATTCATAAGTGGGTCGCTGCACCGGAATGAGGAGCCTGTAGTTTATTTGTAAAACGCATTCTCCTATCCTCAACAAAACATAACAGCCAAAACGGCTTCCACGACTTCTGAGTTCTCACATAACAAATGAAACTTTGGCGCAGCTGCGTATCTACGTAGTGCGCAGCAAGGAACAAGCCAACAATATCAGTATGCCAGGAGATGATCCATACTATTGGAACCGACCACAACAGAGCTAACAAAGCCAATTTTGTGTGGCCGCCTCTCCGTCATCAAACCGAATTATTTCTATATGATGTCACAGCATCATCATGATTATCAACCGAGACATAAACTACACGATGCAAACTTTTGAATGCAATCCAACCGATCAGAGCCGAGCGATAAACTTCAGCATACTGCACTACCCTAGCTTGTCGCGACCGATATTCCTCCGACCGCAACCACGTAACAACCGACAATTACTATATTTTATTAGTGCGCTGGGTGTTCCGAAGAAAGAGAAACAGCGCACACGTTCTTTCGCATCTCAAACTTGCAGTTCACTGAGCAGGCTTCTCTATATCAGGGTCTTGCTTCCTTCGAAGTCTTACCGAAGTTACTTCATCACGATCACCCAGACAGTGGCGGTAACACTCGACCTAATCGCGCCAAATTGGCATTTCACCACATAGAATGCAAGCAACTCTAGTAGGCACGCACGAGCCATAATTGCAGCATTGATTTCCTCTTTTTCTATGAAGTGTTTGGGTTATGTTTGAGTTTGACCCTTACATTGTAATACGAAAACGAATGCCATCCCGCGTTCGGGATTTTTGCCATGAAAATATCATGCAGCTTTACTTGCCTGCGCGCTTTTCCTCTGCGTCAACGAGCTTCCGCAACTCCCGGCGGGTGGCCTATCGAGTGCAAATCTGTCTGGGACTGCAAGAATGCAAGTATTTGTCCTGCATCTCGCCGTGGACCACACCCATGGTCTGGAATGCACACAAGAGCATCACAGATTTTGCGAGACCTTCTTGATGCCCTTCCCGCGCGAGAACTCCGGCTGTTGCCTAACAAGAAGTGGACGCCAGCTTTTGGGGTTCATGCAACACAGATTTTTTTGTGGTCGAGACTTCGCATAAGAACAGTCTGCATCCTTCCAGAGGACCCAGACATATTTGCAATGCACATGACCAGTGTGAGAACAATACTCGTGACAGCCAGTGCGATGAGGCCGCCCCAGGTTCGCCACGTGTCCGAGTCATCCTCCGAGGTGCCGGAGATTAAGTCCGCGAGCGTATGCAGTGGAATAATCTGCTTGAGGCCGCCGTTGCGTCAAGGTCGAGGACGCGAAAAAAGACACGCCGGCTCTGCATGCATGAGCATTCATTTTGCAGGTCGCCGCAGCTGTGAAGCGGGGAAAATACACGCACAATTGCCACAAGGTAAATCATTCCGCAGGGATAGAGAGAGTCCAAACTGCATCCGAGCCAGGAGTACACCACAATCCAGGGGACGTGACCCACGTACCCCAGAACAAAGCCGCATCATAGGCAAAATTGTCAAAGACCAGACCCAAACCTGCATGGCAATTTTCGCCCAGGAGAGTAGCGACCTATGCAGTGCATGGCCAACCTTGTTCCTACCAAGGCAGCTGGCCATGCACGCTTTGAGCGCTGTGCCGAGCGACGTGGTCAACCCTGGACTTTTTCGTCTGGAAGCTAATTAATACTCACAACACCACGCTGCTGCACTACTCACAACACCACGCTGCATGGCCATTCATCAATTTTGCACCAGACGATAGGCTGCGCAGCGGGAAACCGGACGGAAGGCGTCTCGCGGGCGGCAACGTACTTTCTCTACTCGGTCCTCCGGAATCGGGTTCTACTTGGCGACGGGGCTCTTCTCCCTGCTTATCCGCTCGATGTTCCTCGTCGGCAGCTGCGGGGGCCGGCTCCATGTGCACCATCGCGAGCCCGTAATTTATCATCAGGTGCGGCAGCGACGTCCGCATGAGGGCGGTGAGAAAGATTCCGTTGTCTTGCAGGCCGCGCTGCAGCGCCTTGAAGTAAAAGCCTTTCCTCTTCGTGCGAGAAGTTGTAGGAGTGCCCCCGAGCGAAGCAGGGGATGGCGGGGTCGTGGTCCTCTCATCATCTCTGGAGCCAGCGTTCCTTGTGCTCGTCGTGCCCTCGTGCGCCAGGGGCAACTCACCGCTTGGCAAATAACAAGCATCAAGCTTGTTTTCCTCTTCCTCACACGAAGATTCGGCGATCTTCAGTGCGTAATCGCGGAAGACCGTCCGCGCAAGCTGGTAGGCCAGCAACCCGCCCACCACCAGGCCAATGGCCGCGACCACGCAGGCGAGTAGGAAGGCCGCCCCGAAACTCAGCCCCGTTTGGCGTTCGCGCGCGAGCAGCATCGCGGTCCCGGTGTTCAAAATGACGTTGGGTAGTCCCAGACTCACGGCGCAGATGTAAGTCAGTTGTAGAGCGACGAGAAGCACCCCGACCGACAGCTCCTGAAATCCCTCCGCCACCGTCTGCGCCCACCGGGGCAAGTGGCCCGTCGACAGCGTCACGAACCCAAACGCTAACATCGCAACCAGGTAAAACAACAAAAGCTTCTGCCGGCGCGTGCTGGCGTGAAGTACGGCGAGCATGGGGATGGGCCGACCGATGTCGCATCTACTCCCACCGATGGCGCACAGGAGACCGACGTTGCTGCTTAAGCACGCATTGGCATTGGTGGCCCACCTGTTTTCATAAAAAACAGATAGAAATTGTAGAGATGCACTAGTACACCACCACTGTAGTGATCAACTCAACTCCTATGACAATGACGACAGACCGCCACCGGCACGCACGAAAGAAAGCGACATTAATGTTGACATCTGCAGTAGAAGCACCGAGAAAGGCACTGTCTTCCGCAAAGCGAAGTTTCCGACTCGTTATCACACGAAGAACATTTTTTCCAGACAAGTGGTCGACCGGAATAATTCTGCTAATATTTCGTCTTGTTCAACATCAAGTTCGGATCGCAGCTTCGGCTGATAAGTTGGCACGATCGCTATTCCACTAAGTACTTAGGGTCGCAGTGTTCACGCTCAGATCTTGTCTCGCAGAGTGGATGCTCGCACACCCAAGAGCCTCAGTTCCAATTTCTTCTCTCCGACCGCGGGCAAAAATGCTCCTCCCCCGGTGCTGCTACTTCCACCGGCGAACAATCCGGTCAAGGCCGAAACCGCCTTACTGTTCTCCAGCGAGGGGGCAAAGAACTTTTCCAGAAACAGCGCCCTCGCGGTCTCCCGGATCTTCTCCGCCGCGTCTGTAAACTCTGCCAAAGTTTTCGACCGCTGCTCCACCTGAAAGTTGGTCCGCTTGATCTTCACCGTGATGCACTTTGCCTCCTTTTTTTTCGCAATCAGCTCTTTTGCAGTTTCGGCCGCTAGCTCTTCCAAAATCTCCAGTAGCTTCTCCTTGTTCGATGCGGTCGTGTTCTGGTCGGTTGCGGAACTATTTCTGCCCCCGATATTGTGACGAAAAATCCCCCCTCCCCATATTGAAAACGCATCCGTCTGGAAATTTGTGATGTCTGTCTTGCAAGAAGGCAAAGCTAGAGGGTCCGCCGCATTATGCAGGCGGTTTGTGGTGCTGTTGGGCTTACAGCGTGGACATTTGCCATGCTAGTCGCCTACGTCAAAACCTCGCGCCTCACGCTTGGCATACGCCTGCAATCCTCTCCAGCAAGACAGGCCGGATTTGTGTAGGCACATCCAGCGTCAGAAACTTCGTTTCGATATGGGGAGGGGGGATTTTTCCCTCTGATACCCGAACGTGCTCTCGTGGCTGATGGACTGCTGCGGCTTTTCCTCGCGTACCTGGGGCAGCCCGTGACTGGCGAGCACCAGGAACTGCGCCGCCTTCTCGGTCATGGTGCCGAAAAGCAAGCCACGGTGGGTCCAGAGGTCCTGGATTTTGTGCAGCTCCAAGGCGTTCAAGATCTTTTCCGTCACCTTTCCCACCCCGGACAACTTCCGCACCGATTGCGCCCGCAGCCACTTCAGCATCTTGCGTTCCTCGGCGGGCACGGCGTACTGGCCGTTCGGTTTTTCCACGTCCGCGCCCATCTTGGCCAGCATGAAATTCTGCCCGGAAATGCCGGCGGACGCAGTCAGATGCAGCTGCGTCGCGATCTCCCCCCGGATCCTCCGCACCAGGTCACTCGCGTCCTATCACACAGAAAAAAACTGGCAGGTCATTTAATTTGTAATGCAAAAATAAATAGACAAAAAAAAACGCATTGCATATCCTACATAGCCTGCTATGAGGCCTCCCATGACAGATTTTTCTGTGTATTTATTTTTGCATTACAAACATGCCCTGCAAGCTTTTTTCTGTGGGATACGTCCGCTAAGGTTTCCACACCCGCACCGTGGGACAGGTCCAGGTAAAACTCGTCCATCGACGGCACTTTGATAGCGTCCTCGGAGTATTGAAAGGAAACACGTTGTCCCACCAGCAGAAGACCGATGAAAAGCTTTCTTCGCAAATTTTTCACACGAAAGCTTTTCGTATTGTATGAAGAAAACAATACGGTGCGCTTTGTGTCAGAATCTCTGTTACAACGCAACTTCAACACGACGACAGCCATCGCTTACACAGGTGTGGCGCTGCGCAACACAGACTTTCGCTTCTTCGGGTTGAAAAGTTGTCGTGCTGACACGGACATGCAAGTGCAACGCGGCAACTGCTTCCATTGGGAAGTTTCGCAATACAAACACTTCCACATTGATTCAAGGGTGGGGGCAAGTTTCATTTTGATACGGAGAGAAATTGCTTCAAAATCTCGACCACCTGCTCCGACACTTTCTTGTACTTTTCCATGTTGTATGCATTGCGAATATGTCTGGTTCTGGAAGAATGCAAGGCCTCTCATGCACGAGGTTTCGCAGAAGGAGAAGCCGGGGCCGGAGGAAGGGAGAGCGCGAGCCTAGCATCACAAGTTTTGAGCAGACTCCTCGATGCCTATTCTGCATGAGAAATGTTGCCGCTTCGTAACCGAAACTGGGCACTTTGGTTGGTTACGCAATACAGATCTTTGTGTCGATCAGACCTGGCATGACAAACTCAAACCCTTCCAGAGCGACCCACACATGTTTGCAGTGAATACGTTGGGATGCACAAAGTGCAGCCCAATATTTTGTCTTTTGCACAACTCCTTGCCGATGAAACCCGGCATGGCGGACCGCACGCCGTAGCGTCGGGCGACGTAGTTGCTGGTGGCAATCATGCCGATGCCGCCCACCGCTACCGGTCTTTCGCGGAGGTCCGTGGGGTTCGCCTCGTCGTTCAGCGCGTCGCAATATCAATTGCAGATACGTCTGGGTCTCGAAAACCTTGTGATGCGCGTTGCGGGTCACACAATCACAAAAATCTGTCTCGCATGACTTGCAAGAGATGCCCATTTTTGGCCGGGCTGAGAAATAAAACTCTCTCGTGCACCAGCATAGGCGTAATTATTGTCAAGGGGCTGCGGAAACTACGATGCCAAGGCCTGTAGTCCATATCCGGACAGACTGTGTGGAACAACTTGGAAGTAGTGCATGACAAGAAAGATCGCTATCTTCCAGACCCGGTTACTTGTATTTGCACTTGATACGCGAATCTCTACGGCGGCATAGAACATGTCCATATCCATCACGGCGCAAAACTTTTTTTCCGCAGCTGTACCACTTGAGTTGTTTTTCCCGACGAGGCCACCGCCGCTGCCCGCTGCGCCGGTGCTGGAGTTTGTATTGCTACTGTCCAGCAGCAACCTCTCGAGCATGGCGTTTTGCTTGAGAAAATTCTCCAAAAAGCTATCCGCTTCCCGCTGGAACTTTTGCAGCCGCGGAAGCTTCTGGTTCAGCAGCAAGTCCTCCACGCGCCGGATCTTCGCCGGCTTATTGTAGTCCTGCTTGTGGCTGCTGGTACTACTAGTTGTGCTGTCGGCGTTGAGCACAAAGTTGTCCGGGTGGTTTTTCAGTTCCGCTTTCAACTCACTTGCCAGCTGCACCTTTTTCTTCACCAACTCGTCCGATTTTGCGTCCAAAATCAAGGCGTGCTGCCGGTGCGCGCTGTTCTTGCTCATCTCTTCGATCACCTTTAGCTGCAGCTCTTTGTCATATTTTGCGTTCTTCTCGTTCGCAAAAACGTACAGATGCTTGGTCGTGTTCTTGGACGCCGAAGATGTCATCACCTCCTGCTCCGGCGAAGGCGTTGCCTTTTTGGCTTCATCTCCCTGCGAAGAAGAAGAAGAAGAAGTCAACAGCGCTTGTTGTTTCTCTATTTCTCGCTGCCGAATCTGAGCGAGGGAAAACGCGTCGAGGGGGAGCTTGCTCTCCAAAGTAGCTTCAGAGCTCGGATCTGCTGGACAATTTTTACCGTTTGGAACTTTGTCCCCTTGAACTACTTCTACGCCCCCGGCGTTTGTTCTTGCGACGGGGTCGTCGTCGTCGTCCACGGCGGCCCCGTGGAAGTTGTGATGATGTTCATCTGCATAAAAATCGACTTCCCCGGCAGTGTTTTTTTCCTCTGCGATTCCATCGAGCTTGATCTTGTCCAACCCGATCACAGCCTCCCGAACCGCCAGCTTTTGCTTCTCCTCCTCCGCCAGCTCCGCCTCCACTTCGTTTCGCACCCTATTCGCGAGGGCGTACCAAGGACGGACCATTTTCAGTCGGGCTGTAGTACTGGTGGACGTCGAAAGCAGCGTCGTGGACGTAGTTGCGTATTCATGTTTATCACCACTACCGGTGACTGGTTGTTCGTTCGCAGATACCAAAAGGAAAAATCTCCCCTCCCCATATCAAAACGAAATTTCCGATGCTAGACTTGGATACACAAATCAGATTTGTGTTGCAGTAGAGGACTGCACGCAGATCCTGAGCCGAGGTGGGGGCCTTTTGGTGTCGGCGCCTAGCATGGTGGACGACTACCCTGTAGGCCTTACAGCATTACAAATCGCCTGCATAACGTGGCTGACACCCTGCGCGTCGCTTCTTGCAAGACAGACCCGATCTGTGGCCACAAATCTGCATCACAAATTTTCAGAAGGATGCGTTTGCAATATGGGGGCAAGATTTTTCCCCACAATAGCAGAACAATTCTCCAACAAATCCTCGAAAAACTCCTCTATAGGATCGTCGCTAGCTACTGATCTGTATCAAAAGGAAAAATCCCCCCACCCCCTATCGAAATGGAAATCTGTGATGCGGGATTTGTGTACACAAATCGGCTCTGTCTTGCAGTAGAGGACTGCAGACAGATACAAGGCCGGATTAGGGCTGTTTTGGCGTAGGCGCCTAGCAAGGTAGGGACATTCTCTGTAGGCCAGGCAGCACTACAAATTGCCTGCAGAACGCGGCGGGGTCTTTTCTTTGTCTTCTTGCAATACAGAGACGATTTGTAACCTCAAATCATCATCACAAATTTTGAGAAGTATCCCGCTCTGGCATGGGGAGGGGGGATTTTTCCTCACAATAATCTGCTGCTCAACGTCATCCCACCCGCACCGGCTCTATTGCTGTTCTCCCCGGTCGTGTGTGTCGTTGTTCCACCGCCGTCCAAAAACCGTGGCCGGGCGGCGCCGCCAAAGCCGCTGGTAGCAGAATGCAACCCGTAGTCTTTGTTGCTTTCAGAATCTACTGCCGAGGCTGTGGCTCCAGCAAGAATTATTCCTTCGCGGCTCTTTGCAAATCTGCCTGCAGCAGTCCCGGGATGGTACAACCTTGCACTTGATGCGGCAGCAGCATTACTAATACTAGTGCTCCCGCCACCACGACCTCCGCCGGCTATTTCTCTACAGTTCGTACCGAGAAACCGCGGGTCCGCATCTAATTTTTCCTTGCACCCAATACTCGGCGGCACGACCGCCGTTTTTTTCCGGAACGCGCTCCGACTCGTCACGAACTCCTCGAAAGCCGCCTCGGCGTTGCGTTGCCTCGTCGCGGTGTCTTGCTGCTGCTCTTCTTTGGCTCTGGTTTTGGACGGACCCGCACCGCCCGCGACACCACCGTCGCGCAGATACCGCTTCGCCGGCGTCCGCGGAGAGGCGCCCGAGCTCCTTCTCTTCTGTTTCGCCGTACTGGTCTTGCTACTAACCGCAGGATGCTGAGGTTGAAATGGAAAATTTTGCATGCCTTCTGGCTTCTGCTGCTGAGCAAGAAGCGCCGCTGCGCCCGCGGACGCGGAGGCGAACTGGCCGCCGCCAAAGTTCATCTGGTTCAGACTCGCGAAATTGAAGCTGGTTTTGTTGAATTGCCCGGAGCTGCCGCTTGACTGCTGCTGTTGCAACGGTTCCGGCTGACCGGCATTGTTTCTCGACTGCTGGACTGTTCCAGTATAAAAGTTCTGCGGGGCGGGTTGCTGAAATCCAAACCCTTGTCCGAAGGTAGAAGTTGTAGCTGGATTGCCCCTAGCAAATGCGCTGGACGAAAAGCTGTTTTGCTGTCCGAACACCGCGGAATTATTAAAACTAAATCCAGCGCCAAAAGCCCCGCCGAATGGTACCGCTGGGGATGTTGAACTACCAACGCCTTTTGGCACGGAAGGCGGAGCTCCTCCAAACACAGCCCCGGGCTCTTGTCCTGAAAATGGTGGCCGACCTCCGGGAACTGCAGTGCGTTCGGGGAAACTAGCCGCACCCGAAGCTGCAGCTGCGCTCGAGCCACTACTGAAGGCGGAGTTTCCTCCCAGGGAGGTCTTTTTCCCTTGCGCAGTGAACGAGGACTGCATTTTTGTTTTTGAAAATGGTGAGTTGAAAACAAATTGACGTCCTCCACCGCGGGTCTTATGGGAGTAGAGGTGGTATGGGTATCTGTCGGCGCCGCATCTCAAATAAACATTCCTTAAAAGTAGAAGTGCAGCTGTAGTGTATTTCATAGGACCACGAAAAACAGCTCTATCGCTAAAAGCCAAAAATTGTACGCTTCCATCTGGTTTACGAGGCAGAGAAACAGAAACATGAACAGAAAGCGCAGCTGCATGGCGCCATATCTATCTTTGTTGAAGTGGAAGCGAAGACTGAGCAGAAGTTGTAGTATGTGAAATTAGCTCTGGAAGACTACACACGACAGGAAGGAGGTCCTGAAAAAACGATTGTACGGCTCTCGACATCAAACGATCAAGGATTGGCTTTCGTGATGAATCGCCCTTGGCTTCTTATATCCAGGCTCTGATGTTTGATTTCACCCATTCGGACCCAGCTTCTCAATGTATCGAAGTAATATAGGCACATATTAGCGGATGCAAAGGACAAAGAATGCTTTCTTTCAACGATTCTAGAAATAACGACTTGCGCTTGTTGTTTGCCTCGGACGATAAGCCACGGCGCCTTTTCGTGAGGTACTAAAAATGAAGTATTTTGGGCTTCCGAGTAGACACGCGGACAGAACACATCGGAGTCTTCATCGTAGGCGGTTGTGCACCAGAAGATTCCTACTTCGAATCTCTGCAGTCTACTCCGACGAATGCGTTTTGATGTGACGTTCGTTGAAATTTCAGCAAAAGTAGCTTTTCATGTCAACTACATGTTGGTTCGCGACGAGATCGCGACGAGGTCGTGGCTTCCCAGCAGGAACTACTTGTCTTCCCCATTTCACTTTTAGCTGCGAAAGTCGGCTGCCTTTGCGAAGTTCACGTGTTCTTTTTACCGTATGATTTTTTGACCGTTAAAACTCAAAAAATTTCATCATAACTTCACAAAAAAACCACCTCGACATTCGCGTTTTTCTCGTTCGGTCCTTCCCAAAACCAGAAAACGAAAAAATTGCGGAACAGAAGAGGTATCTGTAACGAGGACTTGTGCACCCGGACAGTTCCTGAAAGTAATCCGGAGGCCACGACCCGACGTCGACGACAATGGGGATAGAGTATGATAAACTGGCCCAGGCCCACAACACCCGGTTACAACTGCTCTCCCCCACCAGTCGCTTTTTCCCATTCCTCGGCACAGACCTTGCGCAGATCCCGCGCCATTTGGTCCATTACCGGGTAAGACGCACGACACACCACCCGTCCGGCCAGGGAGGACTTGCCGACGCTGCCGCGCGGGTTCAAGTGGGACACGAGCAGCACGTCGGTGAGCGGCTCCGCGTCCGCGGACGTCGCGACAGGCGTCTGATAGTATAGTTTTGCCTTTGCGCGACAAGTTCTCATATAAGCAAGTACAACATCTTCGACGTGATGATTTTGGCTCCACGCCTCGTAGCTCCTACACATTTTGATTTTCTACCTGGAAAAAAAATCACAATTTACTCAAGAACGCAAAAAAAAAATGATCACTTATCAAACCGAATATAGTAGTACCGCAAACCAGCAGCTGCTGCTCAAATTTCCGAGCACGTGCTGCTTCACCGGGTCTGAGCTTGCCGGCTCGACCGACTTCGACAAAACCGCGAAGGTCCCGTCGTCGATTTCAAAGGGCCGGGTCGCGCACACGAAGATCCGGCTGGAGACGAGAGAAAATCCGGCGTACACACCGGTTTTCACGAGCACAGGCCCGTTGGATTCCGAGTAGTGTTCTTCCAGTACCTGCGAGCCGATGCAGCTCCGGTCGATTTTCGGGTACAAAACCGGGTCCGCGAGCACCTTCTGGATGAACCGTGCGGGGTAGGGAAGCCGGATGTACACCAGCATCGACCGCCAAATCTTGTTGCACGGGTGCTCCACCGAGGAAATCACGATGTCGGTCAGGGCGTCAGAGTTGCTGGAAGAGTTATTGTTCTTTGTCTTGTTCGACGTCGTCCCACCTTTATTTTTCATCGTCGACATGGGGATGGCGACCTGCCGGCCTAAATGAAACGTGGTCCGAAACAATTCCGCGATCAGTGAGTGGATTTGCATCGAGCTCGGCGAGATTTGCGCGTTCAAATCCAGAAACTGCTTTGCTCGCGACATCCAGGCTGATTTGATCACCCGGTCACCGGCTACATTCGTCCCTGTTGATGCGCCGCTCTCGTTCTCGAAGGCCAGCATGCGCCACGCACGCCAGATCTGCATGTTCAGCCGCATCACTGGCATGAAGGGCTCGCGCTCGCAGATCTTCGCCCGCGGAACTTCGTGCTCCACTTGTTCCACGAGGAACGGGCTGGCGTCCTGCAAAATTTCCTCCAGGTTGAGAATTTTCTGACCACCCGGAGAAGATCTACTTTGGCTCGTCGAAGTAGCTGAATTATTTTTACAACCTTGGTTCATCATCCTGTGGTCCCGACCCGTTGTACTTCTAGATGCATTCGGTGAGCAAGTTGCTCCTCCTTCTTGCGGACTAGAAGATGTTGACACAACCGTCGTGGTTGTTTTGTTCAGCAATTTCACAACATTGTTCCCCGCACCACCGCCATTCGTCGAGTTGTTGCTGCTAATGTTATTTCCGTTAAACGAACACCGCGAAACCCGGTCGGAAAGTGCGTGCGGGGAGTAGAAGCTCGCGTCGGTCCAGCGGTCGCAGTTCACGATCTTGTCCGGTGTGTCGTCGGTAGTTTGCTGCCCCCGCTCAAAGTTGCGTAGTTGTGCATCATCGGGGTCCAGGCTGTGGGAATGGCTGTTGTCCTTGCTGGTAGCGCGGCTGGTCGCCGCGCCGCTTGTGTGCTTGCTCGAAGCGTGGGCGGAAGTCGCTGTTGATGACGAGGAACCATTCATGACTCCAGTGTGGTAAGGTGAAGAAGTCTCTTGTGGTGGTTTGGAACATAAACTTTTGCCGCCGTACTTGTGAAGAGACGACGTGTGGCTATCGATATGCTCCTGCAGCGTAGTAGTTGTCCGACTACTGGACCGACTTTCATCTGGCACAACAAACTTTTGGAAATTATCGGTTTGGTACTGTTGGTGCCCCTGCGCCGCCTGCCCTGCTCTTTCTCTTTGAAGATGTTGACTGGCATTTTGACTTTTAGTACTGTTACCCCCTGCTGCAGACGTGCCAGATCTTGATCGGTGGACAAAACTGCCTGGCTCCCTTGCAGGAGCTGGCCACCCGTTCACCGAGGCGCTGCTCCAGTAGCTGCTGGCAGAGGTGGTGCTTTTGTGCACCAGCTTCTTATGATGATTGTTCACCCCCGGCTTCAGAGGCGTTCCTCGAGACAGCATATTTTGATCCTCGTCGGTACCACTGATCGGCTCGAAGCTCGCGACTTCGGCAGGCAGAATCGAGTGGATCTCGCCCTTGGCCTATCCGGTGTAAAACCGTGTTCACCTGCGCCCCAGAGTTAAGATCGCGGCTTTGCTACACAAATCAATAAGGCTTGGCTGTCCGGCATGACAAGTTTAGAACTTCTCTACCGCAGTCGCCGGCAAGACAAATTTACGGCTCTAGTGCAGGCACATCGCAAATGTAGCTCCTCGTCCTGATTTGCTATAGAGCGTGACACAGTCCCAGACAGCAATCGAAAATATCCCTCCTGTGGCTTGCAGGGCAAGACAATCTGGTTACGCCACTTTCTTGCATGACAACTCTAGGGCGGGGACGAAGTTACAGAGGATATGATCCTGCTCAACCGGTACAGTGCGAGCCGGGACGCGATTTCGATCTGCCGCGATGACGTGAGGCAAATCGCGACCAGCCCCCAAAAAACCGTAAACGACGCATCGGAGGTAACCAAAATCACGATGGCCGCGGTATGGCACGCTCAGGCGGTACAATCTCAACTGTTGCAATGAAGTGAGTCTGAAGCTTGCTTTGCATGAAAAGCAGTAGGAACATGAACTACACGCACAGCCTCTTCCGCTTTTCGCAATACAAATCATGTCGCCGGATTTAGGTGCGTTCTGGAGATCCGGAACTTGCCATGTGCAATCCTGTGCAAATAGGCTAGATCCTGCACTTTTTGCATTACAGCTTTCCGTCTCTATTGTAACACTTGAGATCATTGTAACACCTGAGCAGGTGATACGCGGTGAAAACCAACGTGACCGCCTGTGGAAGCGGGATGCGGAGGAGCACCACGTAGAGCAGCAGCACAAACGGCGTCACGAGCGGGTTCACGAATGCGCCGACGAGGAGATCTAATAACATGATACCCACCGCGACGTATTGCCGAACGAAAATCCATCGCGTGTAGGAGGAATGAGAGGAAAAGGTTGAGGCTGTATCGACGTCTCCGGAACAAGTTGTGCCGGGGGGTTTGGTAGTGCGGTGGTCGTTGCTATTCTTATCGTTGGTGGTCCTTCTTTTCTTCAAAGCTGACGCCTGCCTATTACGACTGCCGCTGTTGTCATCCTTGTTCACCTCGTTCGAGCGCATCAGACTCGCGTCAATCCCCAACAGCGTGCCAAAAAACAGCACCCAGCACACGTGCCACCCGATGAAGTCGCTGGACTTGAGGCCACGCGCACGGGCGTATTCATACCTGATTAGAGTAATGGGTTTTACTTTTTAAATATATCTTTGACATCTCATCTATTCTGTCGTAGCACACGGATGTGCTTCGCTCAAGTAATGTTGCGCTTGAGTGGTTCCGGCGCTTCGGTAGTGCTGGTGAGAGGCTTCTGAGCGCCTCCCTTAAGTAGTGCTTGGCACAAGTGGTGCCCTGCTTAAGTAGTGCAACGCTTAAGTGCTTCGCTTAAGTAGTACTGCGCTTATGTGCTTCCTTTAAGCGCGTCCCTCACGCGTTTCCCTTAAGCGTTTCGCTTAAGTGTGCTGCGCTTAAGCGTTTCGCTTAAGCGTTTCGCTTAAGCGTTTCGCTTAAGCGTTTCGCTTAAGCGTTTCGCGTAAGCGTTTCGCTTAAGCGTATTGCTTAAGCGTTTCGCTTCAGCGTTTCGCTTAAGTGCTTCACTGAAGCGTTTCGCAAGCGATCCCCGTAAGTGCCTCGCTTAAATGTTTCGCTTAAGTGGCGCGCTTCTAAAGTGCTGTGCTTAAGTGTTTCGCTTAAGTGCTCGCTTGCGTGGTGCCCCGTTTACATGTGCGGGCTTAAGTCTTTCGCCTAAGTAGTGCTGCGCTTAAGTGCTTCGCTTAAGTAGTGCCTTGCTTGGGTGCTACACTTAAACAATGCTGCGCTTAAGGCTTTCGCTTAAGTAGTGCTTCGGTTCTTGAGTGGTGCCGCGCTTGAGTGTTTGAGTGGTGCCCCGACTCAGGCTGAAGTGTTTCGCATGAGTGGCCCCCCGCTTAAGTGTTTCGCTTAGGTAGTGCTGCGTCTTTTGCTTCGGCGGCGCCCTGATTAGGTGCTGCGCTTAAGTAGTGCTGCGCACTACTTAAAGTAGTGCTGCGCTTAAGTAGTGCTGCGCTTAAGTAGTGCTGCGCTTAAGTAGTGCTGCGCTTAAGTAGTGCTGCACTTAAGTAGTGCTGCGCTTAAGTAGTGCTGCACTTAAGTAGTGCTGCGCTTAAGCAGTGCTGCGCTTAAGTAGTGCTGCGCTTAAGTAGTGCTGCGCTTAAGTAGTGCTGCTCTTAAGTAGTGCTGCACTTAAGTAGTGCTGCGCTTAAGCAGTGCTGCGCTTAAGTAGTGCTGCGCTTAAGTAGTGCTGCGCCCAAGTAACACCCCGCCTGAGTGCTTCGCCTACGCAGTGCTGCGCTCTTAAGCGCTTCAGTAGTGCTGCGCTCTTAAGCGCCTCAGTAGTACTGCGCTTCTTCTTGTCTTACGGCATTTTGCATCAAAAAAGGGTGCGTACTTACTAGAAAGTTTTTGACTGAAGAGTATGTTGAGTCCCTCGCGTACTTACCTCATGTCCAACTTCTCCAAGCTGGTGGTGTCGCCCCCGACCGCCAGCGCTAGCCACAGCACGATGTAGGCCGTGACGAGCGGCAGCAGACACAGTAACCAAAATTTCTGCTGTTCCCAGTAGTACTCAAAAAACTTCGCCTCGAGGTTCTGGTCGTAGAACGATAAGGTCCACGGCCGCATGACGGAGTTGCTGCTGGTGCAGGTGCCAGACGCGGTGTTGTTCGTCAACACCTGCGTGGTAAATTGCTGCACCATATTGCTCGCCGCCTTGCGGTTGCACAGCTTCTCGCTGCAAAAATTTTCTTCCTCGTCCTCCTTTTCTACCAACCTCTGTTTGATGCTGTTCTGGTACTGGGTACTATCGTTCATTGGCGTGCTACTTGTATAAAAATTCTCGCCGTCGTTGTAGTCTTGACTTTCATGATATTCGTAGTTCCCCATCGTGCCACCTCCATATGATCTCGAGGACTCGGGCTCAGCTTGGAATTGCTGGTGCGGGCGGAGACCACGGGGGGCTTTTTTGTGCTGCTGTTGACTCTGCATGTAGAAGTCGCTACCTCCCGAAGTTGCAGGTTGCTGGTGACCCCCTCCTGCATCGTGCGCCGCGGCGCTGGTATTTGAAGCACTGGAATTCGTGGCCTTGGTCGAGCTCACGCGAGACGAAGACTTCGAGGAGGTTTTGTGCACGTCACTCGTTGAGACGGTGGACGAACCCTGTTGGCCAAATGTTGTGCCAGCTGCGCGGTCTGCAAACTGCTCTCCCTGGCGATCTTCCGATAAACCCGAATGATGTGGTGGATCTGGATGGTCTATGCTGATGGCGATGGAGTCAAAGTCTGAATTGTTACGATTGCGGCCCCCGCCTGGCGTAGTAGTTCCCGTTGACACTGCAATCAGGTCGGTACGAACGCTGCTCGGCACGCCCACCGCGTCACGCAGCTCGTCGCGATTCATGTTCTTTTCTTGTTTACCAATGTTATTTTCTCAAAAGTCTCATTTCTGGAGTTTTTTCCTTAAGTATCACTGTAGTGCGTTTTACAAAAAATACGTCTTCTCAATGCTGTATTTTACATCTCTCATAATATTATCCCTCATCAATATCGACAACAAGGCTATCAACAATACTATCAAACAAGGGCGTCTGTGTCGTACAAGGCGAAAACTGCGAGAATCTCGGCGTGCCTAGATTAAGACTCTCTCGACGACCACGCTATTAGGTATGAGTTTACTTTTCAAAAATAATGGGTTTAGGTAGTACTATTCACGATTCATATTCTTCGACTCATCGACTATCATAATTGTTCAAAAAACATGCTTTACAATTCGACGAACTAGAGAAAAACCAAGAAGAGGCTCCACACACGGTATATTGACGTCTACAAGGTTTCGAGAATCGTGTGACACAAAAGTGCAAGAACATAGCAGCACCGCTACCGATAAAAATTTGCAGCTTTTCGAGAATAGACTAAACTAATCTCTGAAGCACGGCGTTAAGATATACCCCAACGTACGGACCCACCTCGCGCAATTGATAGAAAATGAAAAAGAATCTAGTCCCCCGCCCGCCCTAAAATAGAGATGTAGTTTTTGGCGACAGTCGCACAGTAACGAAACATGCTTACGCGCTAGATCTACCTCAGCAGATGCTCTTCTCATTGTCTCGAAACGAAAATTTAGAACGCTCGTTGAAAAGAGTGGGATACGGCAGACGATAGTAAGAAAAAAATCTCCAAAGGGCCTAAGAAATAATGTTCTGCGATAGCAGGGGAACAGCGGGAGTAGCTGTTTCAGACTCAACGTATCAACGACCTGAACCTCGTATTATCGCTCTGTGCCCGCTCTCGTCTTCCACCTCGTGCGATAAAAACCACGCTCGTCCTACTCTGGTCAAAATATCATTTCTGTCGTAGTAAACTTCCAGACTTCATCATCGCTTCAACAGCAGAGGACGGGCTTGGATAGTTTAACTCCAACCACTCTCGATCACTACTTGAGTCTATTTCTCGGAAACGATTTAGTCGCCGTTCCGAAAAAAACCGATCAGTGCGTGGTCGTTGAGAAAGAATATTTTTGTATTGCGAAAACGGAACATCACCTGGTATTTGCAGTACGCGTGCTAACCCTCATCCCTATCTATGCGAAGTCCCACATTCACCGCTTATACTTTCTTTTTCTTTCCCCCCGCACCCGCGCTGCACAGCGATTGGCGGTTTGAAGATCAATAGTGCTTTCTTGGGTTGATTCGCGAGCATCTTTAGATTTGGGGCCAGAAAACGAATCACTGGCACTGCACAAGGTGCTCCTTCGACGATGTCTTCGCTAGCTTTGGTGCGGGCGGCCCGCTCGTGCTGCACAGTCGCGAGAACGGTCACAGCGAGATGGTAGTCTTGATTGAAACTGCTACACAGAGTTGTATGCATTCCAGACGCCATTTTAGAGTGGAATTTTATCACTTGCTCACATCTTCCCTTTGAGCGGCCCTGACATGACTTCACCGGGTTCCGGTCCCGCAACGTATTTCACCGAAACAGAATTGACGCAGTGTCTTTCGCTATCCGCGCCCATTTCGCCGTAAAATACATGTCCTAAGTGCCCGTCGCACCGCTTGCAAAGAATTTCCGTGCGGACCATACCTGTGGTTTTCGGTTCAATTTCTGCTCAAAAATAATTTCGACACACGGAGGAACGATCAAAAAGTCGCATGCTGGCACTGCTGAAAGAATATGATTTTTCCATTTTTTTACATCTTTACATTTTCTCACTGCAACTGCAAGTGCAAAATTTCTCGCGCGCTGTAGAGACGTGAAGCAGCATCGTAAGTACCGTGTGACCGGTCCTCGATATAGGCAATGTGGGAGCCGTTTGCCGCCTTGCTGTGGTAGCAGTCCTTGTAGGCTGGCCACCCGCACCCGCTGTTGAATTTGGCCTGGTAGCTGTAGAGCGGAAACCCGCAGGCGCGGCAGCAGTAGTAGCCCTCCTTGGGATAATGCTTGTCGTACTCCCCAGTGCCCGCCCGCTCTATCCTGAGTAAAAACGTACCCACGCCAGAGTTGTAATGCAGATTTGCAAAGACAGGAAGACTTGTAATGCGCATCCCCATGAGAGCCATTTCCAATCGTGTTTTGGAATTTGTGATGCTGTGAACAGGATGAGTAGCTGGATTTGTGATGCGGCTGCACTTGCTAACCTGCACTACACTGCAGAGCGCAACTTGTCATGCGTGACTCACAAAACTCCTAGGTCTGTGTTGCAAAATCCCCATCCTGACTCTGGTGTGGGTACGTTTTTACTCAGGATACGCTCCGTGCCCTTGTTTCGCAACACGTCGTACTCCTTCGCGTTCAATATCGTCTTCTATAACAGTGCACAACTCCCCCTCCCCCTCATTTGTATAGCATGAACGGCAAAAATACAAGCATTAGCAAGACTGCAGGTTTTGCATGACAAATTTGCACTGGAGTGTAGTGCTATTTGGGCCGCTACCAGAACTTGTCATGCGAAAAGTGCCAAGAGGCACCAAAGGGAGGACTTGGTATTTTGCATGACAAATGAGGGCGAGGGGGAGTTGTGCACTGTCATATCTTCCACTCGCCCTCCGATTTCACCACTTTTTCCATCTTGCCACCACTTGTTGCCTGTCCCAGCTGAACTGTGTTTTGATCGCTTGTTTCTTCTCCCGTGCTGCTGAAAAAGCTCCGTCGAACGACCGAGGCACTCTGCGGCTGGTGACCAACGTCGAAAAACAGCAAGGCGGAGGTAGTTCCGGCGCCTTCGAGCAGCGCCAGGGTCGTGTTGCCGCGACGGGGGAAGTTGCTTCGTTTAGTACCCGGAAAGGGTTTCGGCTGAATAAAAGTTCTACTGGGCGTCTGTCGTGCTCTGCTTGTCGTGCTGTCTTTAGATATGTTATTGGTCTGGACAAAAGCGGCGCGGGAGGTTTGGCGAAGGTGGTGCCGCAGGACGGAGGACATACAACTTTAACTTTTTCGACAAAGATATTGTTCGCTGTAGTTAGCTGTCGTTTTGTTCTAGCGTGTTTGCGGGGCTTTTGGGTTATGGATGAAACTCCCAAGTACAACTACCGTCCTATAGGAGCGCGCGATGCTTGCTGAATGTCCCTGTTGTTAAGTGCGTACTTCAGCTCACGTTCAGCCGCTTTGTGTGTTGTTGCTCGGTGGTCAGGGATTCGCGTTGCGCGTTGAAAATTGATCTTCTGCGTGTTGCACACGCGGGGTGTTTTGTTGCAAATTTGAAGCTGTGACGGCCGTGACTAGCGGTGCCGGCGCGCTTGCTGTTCTACCGTGGCGAGGGTCGAGGGCTTGCGATCCGCGGGGCGCGTCACGCTGCGGAGTGCGGCAGCGGGTTGCGTGGGCGCGGCGGGCGGTTGTTTCCAAAGCATCCGAGCGCAGGAAAGCATAGGACGGCGACGGGGAAGTTTCCTTTTTCAAAAAATAATTTGCCGCCTGTACGCCGAATTCATCAAAACTATTTCTGTACAGAACTTTGCGCTAAATTGATGGGTATATTATATGTATGGTTTTTACAACAACGCCTGAGTTTTGTCCTGTGATTTGAAAGGTCAGCAGCATCGCCAAAAGAATTACAGTTGCAAAGGGAATACTCAGCGTACCGACACCAATTTTGCTCACTCTCGTTTGGGAGGATTGTTGCAGTTGCTTCGCTCATACTGTGGCTCAGGGAAAAAGAAAAAGTTAAAAGCCGCTCGAAAACGGAGGAGAACACAAGCACCACAGGTGCACAAAAGTAAGACCAGGGCCGGCGTACAAGGGTCGTGCAGTTCGCTCCTCATGTTTCTTGTCCTGTATTGCGATCATTATACTTTTCAACCTTTTCACTACCAGTCGTGTCGTACTGCTTGCTATTCCTGCTTCTTCTTTCTGTTGCAAAATTCCCCAAAGCTGCCGTCCCGCCCCGGCTCGTGCCGTGAAAGAAGAGGGCTTCGAAAAACAAACTGGTCCGGGAGGCACGACGCTTCGTCGCAGGAATAGCAATTTCATCATCGCCATCCTCGTTGTTTCCAATATAATTCCCGAGTTGATGTTCATCTTCCTCCCTCCTACACCAGCAGCACCCTCCCCGCTGTTTTCCCGACAGCGAAAACAGCACGGCGAAGACCGTGAAGAGCAAGGGCGCGAGGCAAAACACGTGCACCGAGAACAGCCTCGCGACCGCGGTGCGGGGAGATAGTGCCTTTGACGATGCTCCGCTGCTAACAAGCAGGTCGATCACAAACCCGCCCGCGTAGGAACCGAGACCGTAGCTCACATCCGTGGCCACGGAGAACAGCCCCTCGGCAATTTTCAGATTGTTCTTGTTTGCTGCCCGTTTGCCGGAGGTGCGGCGGGGGGTTTTCGGTGTAGTGGAAAAGCCGTGATCTTCACTGGCCTTCTGCAATTCATCATTTCGTTCAGTAGGAACGTCATTCGTTGTGGAAATCACGGTTAAACTCGATGAAGACCCGGCTTGTTGTTCGCCGCCTTGTTCTTCTTCTCTCTCGCTATTTTCCAAGTCGTCCAGGCCGAGGACTCCGTACCCGCGCAGGATCGCGAACAGAAAAAACCAGAGCACCATAAACGGCATGAAGAGCAACAGCAACAGGCAGATGTGCAGCAGGTCGCTCTGGAATAGCAGCGAAGCTTCATCGGTTTCAATCAGCGTAGTAGACTCGGAGGAGGAGGAGGTACTGGTATCATCAGCACCACTAGTACTACTTCTCGTTGTCCCATTAATATCTTCGTTTTCTCGCCCCCGGCGCACCGAATTTTCGACAAACGTGTGCGTCAGGACGGCGCAGGCGAGACCGGTGGGGAGGAGGAGAAAACACGCGAAGCGTCTGATTAACAGCAAGCAGTACTTCTTCCCCTTTTCCAACCTCAGGTCGTAGTCCCTCTGCAGCACCCGATTGAAGAACGAACTGCCCAGGAACCCGCCGAGTAGACACGCGGTCAGGATCAGTGCGAAGAAGTAGACCGCGAGCACTTGATAACTGATGTTCTTCTTCTCACCTTCACTTGTGCCTCTCACGAACGCGAGCGGATGCAGCACGTCCAGGAGAAAGACCCAGGTCCACGTCTGCCACACCCCGATCGTGGAGAAGCAGACGCAAACGAAGGTGAGCGCCTGTTTGAATTGCCGCGACCGCCAGAGCGCTTTGGCGATCAGCAGATTCTCGCGTACTTGCTGACTGGAGGACGGTTGATGTTTTCTCCTCATCTTCGGGTCGGCGGTCGGACCGCTGGCGGTCGCTGGATGTCGAGTGCCGGTTCCTTGCGCTGTTGCTTCCTCGTTGATTGTTGTTCCCGGGGGCCCGGTAGTTGTTTCGACATCATGCGCTGAAGTTCTTGTGGGTCGTGTATTTCTATCTTCACCCGCAGCGACCGTTGTTGTATTTGAATTTTCCTCGCCCGCCCCCGGTAAATTATTTTCCGCGACCGTCAAGTACCCCACTTCGATCAGCTTCTTCGGTATCACGTTCTCCAGCAGAAAGGCGACGACGAACCACTGCAACGCCTGCAACAGGAGAGTGTAGCGCCAGGTGATTTGCAGCTGGTGGAAGACGATCCCGACCAGGGATCCAACCGCGCTGGCCGTGTGTAGGGGGACCGCCATCGCCCAGTGTCCCCACGCGACGGTTTTGTCCTTCGGGGCGAACTCGGAGATCCACACGAACACGTAGATCAGCGGCACCGCGGCGCCGACGCCCGCCAGAATCCGCCCGGCGAAGAAGAGAAGCCAGTGCGGCGCCAGGCCGGCGAGGGCCGCCCCGACGCCGCCGAGTTGCGCGGCCCGGGTGCAGAGGGTCTGTGGGGGCACGTTGCCGAGCAGCAGGCCGGACACGACGAAGTATGCGGCCACGGCAGAAAAGAAGTAGATCATGTTGATGAAGCCGTAGAGGGATTTGGACAGCGCGAGCCCGTCCGAGTTGTCGTTGCTGAAGTAGTTGCCGCTGCTCCTCTCGAGCGTCGGGATGGCGACGGCCAGCGCGCCGAGTTCCCAGTTGCACAAAAACAACTGCCACTGCCAGATGCGAAACACGAACCGCCGCTGCGACTCGGGGAACCCCGCGGGGTGGTATTCGCGCGTAGTATTCGCGATTTCTGCGGGGGCCGCATCTTTGTCCTGCTCAGTGGCCATCTTCGCAGAAGCCGACAGATTATTACCGCGCCGCCGCAATCGGAAATATTAAAAAGGGGACTATCAGGGGCTGGCTCGCAGATTCTGTTTGTCAGATTGGGTTTGCCCTCTTGCAGTAACGTTCGCCAGACAGCGAGGGTCGGGCGATCGCTCTGCAGGTATGAAACCAGGCGCGCGCAATATTAGCCGCGCGACCGCGCATTGTGCGAGCACCAACACCCTTGCCTTTGGCGTACGGACCCGGGTCGGCGGCTAGTTTTTCGGCGGCAGGGGAGACGCCGATCCCCGAATCCGAAGCGCAGGCACTTCCCGGGCTTCGAACGGGTCGTGGGAAAGACGAAGCAGCCGGGGCTTCCGGCCGCGCGCGCGGGCAAATTTCGGCTCCGCGCAACCAAAAAAATGGCTTGGCGGCATCCGTCTCGCGCGTTTCCGGGCCGGCCGCTGCGTCGCTGCGGCAATCGCGCCGCCGCACCGGACGGGGCCGCACCGCGGAAGCGCCGAGAAGAGGCACCGGAGCACGCTCGGCCGAAACAGTAGTCGCGGGGCCCCCGGGGGACTTGGGGCGGGCGCAAGATTGGGCGTCCCCTCAGCCGGGCGCAAGATTGGGCGTCCCCTCCGCCGGGCGCAAGCGAAAGACGGCTGCTGCCCGGATAAGTACGCACGGGGACGCGGAGCGCCGCGGGCCCGGCGGGTAGCGGGGGATCGGAAGTGCTTGGACGGGCCCGGGAGACCCCGCGGCTAGCTTGCGGCTGCGGCGGCGCAGGCCCGCACTAGTCGTGATTGCACGGTGGCGCGGCAGGGCATCCGTGCCGAAGCTGGCCGCGCGGCTTCCGAAGCCCGCCTGCAGGAGCGCAGCGCGACCGGCCAAGGAGATCCCGCGCCCCCGATCACCTCCGCAGACTCGGTTGCCGTGCTCCACTAGGCCCGCACACCGGAATCCGTAGGGCCCACGTTGGCCGGCGCCCCCATGCTGCAGCCAACAGGAGGGATGTAACCCAGCAGGCCTCTGGGCAGCCACCTGTGGAGGCCGCACCTCAGGAAGCCCAGGCCAAGGCGGATGGGGAGGGGCGGGGGCTGTTTTTTGGATTTCGGATCTTGCAGGTTTTTCGACACCACATAAAGAGTAGCGCTGCAAGTCCTGATGGTCATATATCAGTCAAGTAATAGGCTAGTTGCGTTCTCGGGTGTTATTGTTATAAAATTCTTAAAAAATCGAAACCCACCGAGAATATTTCGATTTTTTTTTTCATTTTTGCAATTTAGTAGATAACCTCCACCACTGTAGCTCACCTGCTTTAGCTGATGGGTCCAGCATAAAGATGGCAACTGATGACGCTAGTCATTTACAATTTTTATCAACATATGTTGGGTGTTGTTCCATTTGGGTTATTTTTTCCGAACTTTTCAAAAAGTGGAAAAGTCCTGAAATGGCCCAACTATAAAATCCAGCGGGCCTGGTAGGTTGGAATGAAGCCAAAGCGAACAAGCTCTGCCACATTCTGACGCTATTTTATAGGGTTGCACCGATAAAATTCAACGAAAAAAATTTTCAAAATTTTTTTTTATTGAGACTGTCAGAAATTTGACTGATTTCGAAGCCCATCATGATAGGCAATAAAGTATAGGACTAATATGCCTTGATTAGCTTCATTATGTGCACGGTTGACGGCGATAATATGTGGAAAAATCACTTGCCAAACTTTTTGGAATTTTTTGCAGATTTTTAAAAAATGTGCAACGCTTGGAGTTTGCAAACGATTACTCAAAACAATTACTCTTTGCCAATGAAGAAAAAGGACACAAGATATTCGATAGTGTGACTTGTGGGATTTTTGCGCCCATCAATTTGACCAATTTTGCCTCTCCGGCAGATTTACAATTTTTTGCAACTTGGAAAAATTCTGCAACTGCCATGTCTTACACAAAGACAATATGTCTCATACAATATAAGGCCTCTCACAGACCGCCGAGGGGTGCGCATTTGCTTGATTGGGCACAGGTTGGCTTTCCACAATTTCCTGTCTTCCCCCTCTCCTCCTTTCCATCCATCCTCTTTGGAGGCATTGCCACTACAGCAAACTAGGCCCAGGATCCGCAGCGCCCGGCGCCGCCTCCTAGGGCCTATAGCATCCCCGCCCCCCTACCCTCTTATCCCCTTCCGATCGGGCAGATAACTCGATCGGGCAGGAACGCCTTCCGCACGCGAAAAGACCCCCCCCCCCTCCCCTACTTCGCCCGCGCTATTACGGGGCCTGCGGCGGTGCGGCCGCGCTTGCATTTTCTTTGCTACTAAACCGGGCGCGGGCGGTGCCTACCCGATGCGAGGGCCGCTGCGGTTATACGGCGCCCCGTTTAGAACGGACAAGCGCGTCCCGTAAGATACCGCTCGGGAAGAGGCGCAGCGCCGCGGGGAGATGGCCACGGTGGCGCTTCGTTTCCCGAGGGCGGATCTCCGCCGTGCGGGCCCGCGGGCGGATCTCCGCCGCCCCTTCTCCGGGCGCGACCCGGCCGCGGGGGAAAACAGTGCCCCGGGCTATTTCGCGTGTCCAATCGCAGCGCGGGAGCTGGCCACATCGGGGCCGCTCCTGGAAACCTCGCACCGAGCGCACTCTGCTCCTCCGGTGCTCGCCGTGCGGGCCGATGAAAGCCCGCCAGCCACGCTGCACCACGCCACCCGCGTGTACGGTCGAGGCAAGTCGGAGCCCGGGCATGGCAGAGTAAGATAAGCTAGCCTCGGAAAGTCCGGCGAACCAATAGCAGGAAAGATAAGCGCGTTGAAATACTTCTCTTACACAGAAGATGGCTGCGACTCTCGAAGGTCACTCTTTTTGCCAGAGGAAAGATCATCTTGCAGCTATTCGCACTACCTAGAGACCGCCAGCGCTGCAGACGATCTAGCTACTACTTGCTGGCCGACGCACACTAGTTTGGTCCCGTTTTTTTCTATTGTGCGAAATGCTTCACGTCGAACTTTGCCGGGAAATTCTTTGCCAAAATCAGACCAGGGATTCGCCACTTTCTCTACTTTTTGTGGTTTACCAATTTTGCGAACTGAGGTAGCAGTCGCAACCGCTGTGTATTTGATGAAACATATCAGACCCTACTTACTTACCCACTTTCTAACCTCGCAGGCTATAATTTCCCAACTCGTTTAACATTTCAGAACAGACCGCAGGATGATGATCCGTTTCGGGGCCAAGCACTTCCCCTTTTGCCTCACAGACGCGCTCGCGGTTTTGCTGTCGCGACCGTGCGTTCTCGCGCGTCTCGCCAGCCCGAAAGTCGGCAGCCCGAGTAAGAAGTCGGTTTTTGCACAACTAGCGGCACTCCAGGACACTTCTTCCGAGTCGGAAGGGGAGGACGACCCGGCTGAAGCACAAAAGAAACCCATCCCCGCACGCCACGAGGAACACCCGCGTGCCGCGCTCGACGAGTCGGAGGATGTCGGGGACGCCGCGGGTACCGCCCCGGCAGCCGCAGCTCGACCCGAGGTACCTCCGGACCCACCATCGCCGGCTTTGCCGGATGCAAGCACGACGCAAGGCCCGGGTAGTACCAGCCAGGAGCTATCAAGTTCTCTTTTCCACCTTCGCGGAACCGGCAAGGCGGCGCGATGGTCGGACGACCCGGGGCCGGGATGGGAACGTATGGAAGTAGATGCGGGGATCAAGAATATTGCGGAACCTGCGCGCACGCCGCCATTTTTTTTCGCCAGCCGCACTACTAGCGCGGACCAAGACGTTCTGGACCAGGCGGCCGGGGAGTTCGGAAGCGCTGAGTCCGCCACTTGCGGCAGCCCGATGGATTCCTCCCAAGGCACGACCGCTGCTACTCCGGAATCCACCGACGGGGGAAAGGGAAAGCCCGGTGAGCAAACAGCCCACCACGTGGCGGCTCGAGCGGGCGAGGCGAAGACCGCGGGAGCACTACTAGCAGCCCGCGCGAAGAACAACAATCGCAGAGAACAACAATTACGGCAGCCCGTATTTTACCCGGGCGTCGCGATGGACGGAGCTGCACCCACTAACTTTGCAGGTCCCTATCCCTGCATGTTTTCACCGCCTAATTTTGATTACGGCGGAGGCACGATGCCTAACGGGATGGGATGGGCCGGCTTTGATGGAACAAGTTGCGGGCCCGGCAATTATTTTGATCCGCAGCAGCAGTTCCAAGTTCCGATTGTGGGCTACTTTCCACAGCAATTGTACGAGCCGGTCCCGAACGCGCCGGGGTCTTGATATGATACAGAGAAAATTGAAATCAGGGTATGGAACAACGCTTTGAAGACGAATTTGCCTGCTTTACTGCCCCCGCGATCGATGGCGACGCGCTTCTTATCCAGAGTTCTTTGAGATGCGCTAGCACTTTTCAACATCTATGTTGCGAGAATAAATTGGCGTATCCTGTTGACAGAAGTTGTTCCTTTCCTCTGACTTCCGAATTTGCAAGTAAGTCGTGGTGTGGCGACCGGTGCAGGAAACGAACGGCAGCACCACGACGCCCAAAGCAGTGGTTGCCATCAAGCTGACGGACAAAAGTGGTCCGACCGACGAGGAAACAGGGATTTTGGCCGCTAGCTCCAGCGACGATGGATCTTCGGCGTACGACGTTTCTCCTATGTGCGCGGACAAGAAGGACGGCGCGACTCGACGCGATTCGGTGTCCTCGCCCGAGGGGGGAACCGGTGTACCCCCGTGGAGCACTTCCGCCATACCTGGTGAAACAACAGAAGGGGCGGGAGCGAAAAGGCCCCAAGAAGGCAGAAAGCGGCAAGAAGTGGAGGCAGAAGTACCATCACCAAGGCGAGAGGAAGTGGTGCAAAATGACCTGGAGCGAAGTAGGTATTTTCGCAAGGAAAACGAAGCCGCTGGACAAGCTCACACCGGTCCCGCTTCTGGCTGCGTGACTCCGGGTGGGACTGGTGGCCCGGCTCCACAAGACCGAGGCCTACTGTTGGCAGGACCCGGCGCGGCTCCCTACTACTACTACCCGCACTGCCACTGGGGAAACACGGGGCACTTTCTGGTGCCATATCCGTATGCGCACACCGCAATTTTTCGTACGCCCGTGCCCTGGAGCTCGAAGCGCGGCGGACAACAGCAAGGTGCCAAGGCATCAGCTCGCAAAGGAAAAACTAAGCCATCCGGAGGTTATTTCCCCAGCCGCACCCGCCTGGAAGCGCTGCGAGCCTTCCAATCTGGCGACGCAAATGCGGCGCCGCCAGGAACGCCAAAAACCGAGGAAAAACTCCCGGAGGGCCATGCGTTGGAGGACTTTTTCAAAAGCGACGAAGAAATTCGCGCGCAGAGGAAGGCCTTGCTAAGCAAAAATTCTCGAGGCGCCGCTTCGGACGTTGGAGGCCACCGCCCGAGTAGCCCAAGTGACAGTAACAGTCGTGGGACCAGCGGTGACGGGAAGGACAAGGAGTGGCAACTGCGGCGCCAGATCATTGCTTGGCAGGAAGCTGTGAATGAAGACAATAAGCGACGAGATGCACAAGCGATGTTCCTCCACCCGGGTGGACGAGCGGGCACAAATTTCGCAAACACAGAATCTATTTTGCAAGGTACTTCTGCAGACAAAAAAGGTCCTCGTTCCCAACATGGCCGCTTGGATGTAACCCATCGTGGCTGGCACCGTGATTTCGCGCGGACGTGGTATGGTGGTGGAAAAGGACCGACCTTGGCTGGGGAAGGACCGGCCCAAAATTTCGACTTAGCGAAACCGAAAGCGAATTTTCCGACACCGGAGCCAACGGTGTCTAGTATGCCTTTCCGGATCGGAAAGAAAAAAGGTGTGCCCAGCTCCGCGTCCTCTTCAAGCGGATCTACAGCCGCCGGAGCGTCGGGCTCGGGCGGAGCCACGCCCGGATACTTTTTTGGCACCGGGCTGGGGGCCGCTGGTTCGGCGGCACCCGCACGCGACCTGCGGAAGCCAGTAGGCGTCTGGGCGAAGGAGATGGCGTGAGATTTTTGGGGATTCGCATTTACCGCCGCATGTCAAGCTAGATAAAGAAGATAAAACGCAGTACCGGTCGAGCACTATTTTTTCATACACGGACCAAGGTTTAGAAGACCCGCACTTTATTATTTTTTGTATCAACCCTGTTGGAGCTCCTGCAGTTATGCAGGCTAGGCGATGTCTTTCCATATTCGACTTTACTGTTTACTTTGTACGATTGTTTAGGGCTTTATATGATCGCGAAAACCACAACGAGCGGCGACTGCCGCTGCCACTGGAGGCGGCCATCGCGGAGGAGAAGCTCCGCTTTGCTATTGAAGAGGCGTTGTCAACAAGCTGCCTCGTGATCAGATACAGATACTCATGGTGCTACGGAAGTAGATACGCGCGTGTGATATAGCAAGCAACTAAGCGAGCATAGCTGCACAAGAAAGCTTGTGTATCATGTTAATGTGCTTATTTGATTGTGTTAGAATTGGAAGTTTCATTTAGCTCGCTCTTACTTTACGGCAAAGAGTTTCGTAGTGCAATCCGGTCGTTGTGTTGCTCTCCCGAAGGAGATGCTTCTTCACATCAGAGCCAAAATGTTGAGTAGGCTCGGCTGCACTTTATGCTTTCTTGAGTGGTTTTATATATCAATGGTTTCATTTCATCACCGTGACGGCTTGTTCAGGACCAAATATATTGACAGGAATGCAGAGAATCACTGCGCAGGATGAGCAGGACGCGTTTATGCTGTTTCGTTTGTGGTTTTTATGGCAGCGCAGGTTTTCGAATCCGCGCGCTCGTGTTTTGGCCTTAGACATATGTTGAAGAGTTCTTGTGAACCAGCAGGTTGCTGGGAACGGTTATGGTTCAGCAGTTGTTTTCCAGTCGTCAAATAGAAGCATCGTACTCGCACAAAGGTAAGTTCGTTCTTTGCGGTATTCGTTCCTTTTTCGTCGTGCAGACAGCTTTCAAGTAATAAAGTCGTTCGTGTTCTCTGGTCGTCCCTTTCCGAGCCGCCAGGTGCTCTTGACGTCCCGGACGAAACTACAAAGTTTCGTCGCGTTTGTCATCGTTAAAAATTCTCCGTCGGCTCCACTAGTAGGTTGGATAGAAACATCACATCAGCGGTCGCATGTCATGTGTACAACAGACGAAGTAGGAGTACATAGGCAATGCGTCAACTTTCACAGGTGAAACTACACAAGCAGCAACCCCTTCCCGCCTTCAGAAATCCACAGAGACGACTCTACTGCGGTTTTTTACTACTGAGCCTAAGGAGCGCAACTTTTCGGACACTTCACAGTTTTTGATTTCGTTTTTAGCGACTGCGGCACACTAGCCCCCGATCCGAAGTCCATCTCTTCATTCTAACTCGTGGGTAGTCCTGCGCATTATACATAAAGCTGAAGCTCAGCGTTGCACAGGTGTTCATTTCTGCTTTTCCAGTACATTAAAGAACAGCGCAGCTGTTGCGTGTTCAATAAGGCACGAGCATGGGACGACACTCCACCACCAAGCGGGCCACCCGGTCGTGGGCGCTCGCCGTCACGGGAACTACGTCCGCGCGTTCAAGCTGTCCAATGTCGGCCGTTTATTGCGCTGCAACCTGTCTCGGACTAGAGCAGTTGCTAGCATGCTCCTGAGATCAATGAGATCGAAGAGATAGGCTCTAAGTATACCGATTATAGGTAGACGGTCAACTACTAGCCTAGAGGGGTCACACGAGTAGGATCACAGTACTAGAATCACTAGGACCACATGGGTCACACACTACACCACTAGGATGGTGACAGGATGATAACCATATCAATGGCAACAACGTACACACAGTGCCAGAATGGCTTCTGGTCTACGGGCCAGTAGCTGGAATAACGAAAAGCCCTTTCTCTCCGTAGTACCTACTAGGTAGGTGCTTAGATAGTAACTCTGTTCTCTATCTTCGGACAGCATGCTAGTGAGCATACCCAGTCCCTGACGCTTTGAGACGTCCCCAGTGGGAAAGGTAAGAACTACTAGCCCCCTTCCCCCCATAGGTCCCTGCATAAGAGCAGCGGACGAGCCACCCATGCTCAGGGCTGTAGTCGCCTCCCTGTGTGGCTATGCCGCGCTTGGAGTGCCGAATTAGCGCAAGGCGCTAGAAAGGGCAAAAGTCCCCTCGCACAACATCCGTCGATGACGCATGTTGGAGCGAGTGCGGGACAGCATGAAATGTTTAGGGTACCGCAATCCCAGAGATGGGAGCGCGCGGCATTTGAAAGCCTACGAATAGGGAGCGATGTATGCCTCGTGCATATTTTTCCTCACCTAGCTTCAAAAACTTCGAAGGCCTGAAAGCCTTAGCCTTGATAGGAGTATGCTGAGGATAGCACTCAGCAAATATTCTTAGCCTTACAAATTCAGCACTCGCGCACCATCACAAGCGCACCGCGTTGCTGTTCGAAGCTTCGCGCATATAGTTGAATCTCGGTCAGAAGATTCGACTAGAGATCTCGGGCAAGAGATGCATGGCTCCACGGCTCTCAGGACGGATCATACCTTGATCCTGATTCTGAGACCCGAGCAGCATATGCTTGCGTTTACCGCTTTGTATTAGTGGCAAGACACATTTGCCGAGTATTATGAGCTTCAGGCTCATCGTAGATTTTACTACAACTCTACCAGTTTCACTACTGTGCGCCCCGTAGTAGATCAGCAATAGATGATTGCTGACTATGTATAGATTTTCTCTTCATCGTTTTGGCAGCTACTCCGACTCATTTGATCAGGAGCAGGGGAGTGTATTGCGCAGCAACTTGTCGTAGACTAGAGCTGACGCTAGCATGTTCCTGAGATCAATGAGATCATAGAGATAGGCCAACCGTATACCGATAGGTAGATGAAGATCTAGACACATAGAGGGGCCGCACTAGTAGGATCACACCAAGGGGATCACTAGGATGACTAGGATCACACGCACTACACCACTAGGATGGTGAACCAGGTAACCATGACAATGGTATCAATGTAAATGAATACAGTGCCAGAATGGCTTCTGGTCTCCGGGCCAGTAGCTTGAAGAAACAAATGCCCTGAACTCCGTAGCACCTTAACCTCTTAGGTGCCTAGATAGTAACTCTGTTCTCTATCTCAGGACAGCATGCTAGTGCGCATGCCAGTCCTCGGTGGTTGACACCTCGACAAACTACGTCCGCGTTCAAGCTGTCCAATGTCGGCCGTCCCATTTTGAACGGCAGGAGAGATCGTCGCGATCCGGCCGCGGCGGGACCAACGGACTCGGAATCCTTCGCCTCGCTGCTGCAGCAAAAAACGAAAAATAAAGTCGGCACCCAGAAAGTCAAAGCGGCGAAGGCCTCGTCGACGTCGCGGAAGGGAGAAAAGAGCGACGCACTACTGTACCAACTGCAACAGGCAAAGGCCGAGCTAACGGAGGCAGAGGCGGAGCTCGAGGCGGCAAGGGAAGAGCTGGAAGAGGCATCCTGGAAGGCCGCCGCGGAGCTGCAGGAGAAGCACCACCTAGCAATGAAGGGTGCTGTGTACACGTCTCCCGCTGAGGCGCAAGCGGCGAACCTGCCTACCCTGTACCGTCCTTTTGACCTGATGGCCGTGTGCGAGAAGGACTTTTTCGAATTTGTTGTTCAGTGCTGCCGCGACGAATTCAGCTCTGCGGCGAACTCAATGGAAAACACGGCGCCGCTGGTATCCCGGACGCAAGAAAGCTAGCATCCCTGAAAAGAAATTATGTGATACTGCGGAAAAATAGAAAAGAGAAAGACGCACGCCTGTGGTAAGTAAAAACAGCGTGTGCGCTGCTATGTCATGGGCGTCTTGTAGCCCGTGTGGCCACACCTTTATTTGTCAATAAGCAAGCACCAAACTGATGATGATGATAACGGCGGTATGATGAATGATTTTCTTCATTTTTCCAAATAAACATAAGCTGGATGATGTGATGCGCGCTGTAGCTTTCTCTTGCTTTGATAGTCGAGCGAAGCGGACAAGGTGTGGTGTGATGAAATGGTGCAGAAGTTTATCAAAGTGAAGACCTCTCCTTCGTTCCCACGTTCAAACAAGGACTGATTTTGCAGGATTGGCGTAGTCAAGTCGTCTTGCAAGAAAGCTATGGCTTAGTACGAATGTTCTGTCACGCTATTGCTTTGCGTGGAGTGCCTTCGCCTATGAAACCGAATAGGCGACAGTCATTCGCTGCTATTCGCGACTAGAATCCGTATTCTTTGTCTTCTTGCGTGACATAACCAAAGACAGCATCAGTCGATATCTTCTCTCCAATACGGAGAGGGGTGATTTTTTCTCGCTATAGAGTTCGATGGCGCGCGGGCGAACCACCCGGAGCTGAAGGCGGTTGGCGGTTGTCCGGCACGCGTGTCGCGCGACAAATTTACCCAACAGACAAGTACACCCGTACCAGATAAAGAAGAAATATGTCCAGGTTTTTATTGTTGTGTCACATTTTGCTGTCCAGCATGAAAAGTTTTTGGGGCACCTTTATCATGCTGATGCGCGTAATAAATTATGTACATTCCTCATTCTGCATGAGTTCCCGTTGCCGATCAGCACCACCAACAGAAAAACACCAACAAACGTTTATAGTTGTTTTGTGGTATGGCAAGGGGTACACTTTTCTATTGGATACAATTTTGTTCTCATGCTGACACAGAGGCCAAGCTCTCTATGCTCTCTTCGAAGGACGCGGTGAACTTCAAAGGGCCGTGGAACGTGGATTGGCCCCTTCTTTACCGGGAAACCACGGATGCGGACTTGCTGAAAATTACGGACTCGTATCCATTGCAAATTTACAGTCTGGGTCGGTTTGTATATGCAGGTGTTGATTCGCCTAGAAGGTCGGACACGCATCCCACAGCAATTTTTTTTGTTCTGGGGAAGTAGTCACCTCCAAGATTACATACTCCTGCCTCTGTTGCACTTCGAACGCGCCTGCTTCTGTTGCCCATTCAATTTCTCAGCGGACAGGGCGAGACAAGGCCTCCGGCTGCGCTGCTTTCGGTCCGTGGTTCGTAGGAGGGTCCGCGACTTCCTTTCATCATGCTCATCACCTATCATGAAATTCCACCGAGATAGCACATTCGGGCTTTGCAGCAACTGCGAAGCCGCGCGGCCCTGTTAATTCAATGCAGCACGAATACTCATGGTCGGAATTACGGGCGAGGCCCGAAGGCCACTCAGCACGAAGCGCATCGGCTCACCGTGTTTTATCTTTCAGGCCCATGACAACGATCCCCGTTATTTAACCGGGAAAGGGGCCGACGGACCTGGTCGGTCTTTATTTGGTGGGGACTCTGCTCGGAGGCGCATCATGCTCAGCAGATTCGGTGCTTTAGACCCTGACTCGGAAGGGTTCTGATCACATTGCCAACAGCTTCGCCTGAGAAGTTTCGCTCGCTTGCTTTTGCGGCGTGACAACGCGGGCGAAGGTCTCGCTGACCGTGAGCGTGATTATATATAAGTTTGCACTTTTGATCTCGGCACAGACAAGATGTTTGCACTGGATACCAAGCTCGTGAGGGTCACTTTTCCGGTGGTTTTGGATGCCGACCAGTGCACGAAGGTCCGCGCTGGGCTGCAAAAGATGTGCTGCATTCAGGATATGCACCGAAAAAGTATGGCACTAGTAGTAATCGCGCAACAAATTTGATCTGAAGAGAAAATGGAACCTTTGAGGACGCACATTCAGCTAAGAAAGTACTATCGTCATGCACGCTTGCGATTAGTATTAGTACGAGTGCGATGCTTTGACACAGGATGCAAGACCCAATGTCCTTCACGGACCTTGAGAAACGGCTCTGCAACTCCATCGCGACGTCGTACAACAAGCTGGAGGCGACGACAGCGGTACTCTGAGTAAAAACGTCCCCATGCCCCCTCTCATGCACAGCCACATGTATGGGCAGCGTTTCTTTTCTAGTACTGCTTTTGAATTTGTCATCCTATGAGGAGAGGATCGATTTGGATTTCGACTTCACGGGCTTCACGTGACCACAATGCGAGCCCAGCCTTGTCATGCGCGACAGCCAAAGCCTCTCCATGTGTGTAAGTAGCAAAGCCCCCACCTTGACATTGACTATGACATCGGGACATTTTCACACAGGATAAGCGGACGCAACCTGTCCCCCGCTGGTTTTCAAGGAAGTCTGCGGGAACGACAACTTGAGCCTCAGTTCGACGGACGAGTCTCTCGGGCCGGAAGATTCGACGGACGGGCCGCCCCAAGGCCTCGCTTCTTCGAATGCGGCGGGCGCCGCAGAGGAAGCGGGATGCTGCTAAAAGCAGTCGCTCGGCCAGGGATCCAGCTAAAAGCCTATCGTTTTCCTTTTTCTGCAAATTAAAATTTTTACTTACGCAAATGCCAGTCTTACACGCCGCTCGACTCTTCAGACGGCGTTTGCCTCGACAAGAGCATGAATCAGCAAGAAGATGATCATCATTCCATTTCGCATTGCACTTTCACGCACAACTTTTTCAAGAAGTAGTACTGTATGATGTTTGCACAGAACTCTACTCAGAGCTACGCAGCTTCCATACATGCGCAAGTAGAAGTAGCACCCAAAGTAAGTATTTGAATTGTTTCTAATAAATAAAACTTCGCAATTTTATACATTTTTTCAACACGCAAGCACCTTTTAAACTCCGTAAACCGTTAACGTAAGTATACTAGAGCAAAAAAACAACACTAATTCCCTGCCCCTCTCAACCTCTCAACGCCCCCCTTTCCCACCATAGCTCTCCACGCGAACGAAAGTAGGATGATGGCGCGCAAAGTCAAACAAAGCAGCTGCATGTACGTGGGCAATCAATCTATTTTCAGTATGGCAGTATACAACCTGCACAACTGCTATACGGGCAAACAGAGTACAGTAGCAGCTTTTAGAACAGGATTTATTCTCACGTTTTCCTCAGGATTTGTTTACGTTTCTCCCCCTTGATCTCACGAGTGCGATGATGACCTTGCTGCACGGTCGCGTTTCCACGAGTGTGTTTGTTCAGTTGGTTCTTGTTCTTCTGCCATGGCCGTATCGTCCGCATCTTTCGCGACAACTTTAACGTCGTTACAAACGAGAGAACCTAGGAAGGGTAGCTCCGGGCGGTCAGGTGGTCACAAGCGAAGATCCGTCGCGTATAACAGAGGCGCTATGACTGTGCTGGTGACGAAAAAACGCGAGATCATGTAGTATGGATCTCTCCCTGCTACGGAGCCAGGTGCAGGATCATCTTCCGTAAGAAAATAATACGACTTCGTGCCACGAAGTATGATAAGCGAAGTCATCAAGAAGTACAGTTCTGTCGCGGGCGCAGGTAAAAATAGGAGACGATATAAGCGCGTGAGGATCTAGAATTCAGCATCATGTGAGCATCAAAATAGATGATCATTATGCGAGAAGAGGCACGACCACTGTCTTTGTCGTGCTGGCGGCCTCTTGTTTTTTGGTCTTTTTTGTACTGGCGGGAAAGAACGGAAATTACGGCACCAAAGGAACAAGATCATGCTGCGATGGAAAGAGAGCTGTAGCTGCGGTTGCAGCAGGTAATCACTAATTGTTTTCGACGAGCGTCATGTAGTTGCTTTTCATATCTCGAAAAGGAGAAACATGCCCTTGGTCGCATCGGCGCCGGCCGGAGGTGCGCGAAGGAATTTGTCAAGCGCGGTGGACAGTTCCTGTTTCGCGGCGCTGCAGCACCCCGTGAATACGTTGCGTTGCTTCGTGGTGTTTGTGCTACTCGTCGCATCCTTCCTGCCCGCCTACTCGACCGACCGCCTGGTCACCAAGTCCTCTCGGTGCGCGGGGCTGGCCACCGGGGTGGAACTTGTGTGGCAACCAGTCAAGCAGTTTTGCTTCGCGTTCTTGGCCCTGGACCTGTTTGGCTTCGTGCTTTGCGGCCGGAGGACATCTTCAACGGGCACTATCGCAGCAAGCAGCGCAACCTCGTCTACCAGTGGCGCAGCGGCAAGAGTAGCGGCGGGGTGCAGCAGTACCCACACGCGATGGTGGGGGCGAAGAGAAAAGCTTGTCGTGCGGCTCACCATGCTTTTCTTTTGGCTGTACGCGCTCTACGGTTGCTACGTGTACGGGGCTATGCATTTTTGCAAATATCATGTGTGGCTCTGGAAGATTGATGCCAGATCTGTCACGCCTGTCCGACATGACTCTGAACGAAGACAAAGAACTCTGTGACGCCTGAGCGCGAAAAAATCTCTTTTTTGGTATGCGGAGTATGCAAAGCATGGCAGAGCAAAAGCTTGTGGCCAAAAACATTCAGGGCTGCGTAACATTGCAGTGTGACTATCGATCAAGATAAATGTTAGCACTTTACAAGGTAGTTTCCAGACCCAGGCACCTTTGCATTCGATGAATGCGGGCATAGCGGAGTCCAGGTTCAAATGCTGGAACGGACCAATCGTGGTACTGAAGTCTTGTCGTTGAAATTTTTTCTGTTGAAACAAGTTCCACAGCATTGATTTTTTTCAGTTTCTATTCTGATTCGTGTGCTTGTTGAAGAACTTTATTCTTCGTTCGTGCTCCTGAGGTGGCGCAAATTTGCAATGGTTGTACGATGATGAAAGTGCGTTCTTCTCGATCATCTTCACAACGCGAATAAACCTATTACCACCAGCTGACCATCCTTGCCATCTGGGTCTTTCTGATGTGGGTGCCGGTATGGTGGGCCTTTTTCGAGCAAGACCGAATCTCCGCGACAAATTCCGTATCCCCAGTAAAAATGTCTCCGCCACGTAGTCAAGGTTGGAAATCTGCTAAACAAATCCATAAGTTTTGGCACGGTCGCATGACAATTTTCGGTTTACTGCAGAGTGAGTGGTCTCGGCGAGCTAGGTCAACCGCATCACAAATTGATCGTCATACTTATCCCGCTTAGAGCATGACAAAATCCCAAATACCAGCAGAAAGCTCCCCTTCGGGGGTAGTCGCGCATGACACGCAGTCTGAGCATGTACAAATTTGCATGACAAATAAAACTCGGAGCTGCAGCTGGGGATGTTTTTACGCAGGATATTCCGCCTCCTCGCGCTACGTGATCCAGGAAGATTTAGAGGACGAGTTGCAGGACCTGGAAGAGAACCCGGTGTCGTATCAGGTTTGGCGTAGCGGAAAGATGCTGTACGCCAGTTTGACCAAAAGCGAAGTTAGGAAGTGGCTGGTCGCGAACCAGGCAGACCGATGGACAGATTGTGTGGTCAGAGAAGTGCAGCTCTAGCGAAGTGCTGTACTACAGCTTCAACAATACAAACGAAGGTGCAAAACATGTAAGTCCTTTTGTTTCTGTGCGGGAACCACAATCCACAGATTGAGGGAAAATCGCACACGACCCATGGGAGGATTCCTCTGTCGTGAAAGATGCCCCCGTCGTGATTGTAGCGCGTTGTATTTGATTGTGTTTTTGAAGGTAGACGGATTGTTCTGGAGGTGTTGTGAGCGAGCATTAGCAGTCCTACATCGGAGAAGTTGTACTTGGAGTGCTGACTTGCTCGTCATCTTTGTTTATCATCTGAGCAGAGCAAGAAGAGCAGGTCGAACTGGGAGTAATTTCGCGGGACGGATTTTCGAGTTAGCGTACGAGAGACAAGACCTCGTGAGCTGCGTCATCGAGGGACAATCTATCATGTTGAAGCTAACACTACACGACGCAAGCGCTGTCCTCGCCATTACAACACAGTCTCAGTGAAGGTTTCATCGACCCTCGTAGTGCGTTGTGCAAGTCCGGCCGGGAAAGGGAATGAATTTTTCCCTTCTGCTACTATTACTTGACCACATCATGAAATCACGACAGCGTATGTACAAATAGAATCACCTTTATTTCATCGTACAACCACCTTCACAGCCACCATGCGGTTTTCTCGCGACAACATGACCCGCTTTTTCACTACCACCGCAGTCGGACGACTTGCAACAGCAGCGGCATTTTTAAAGACCGTTTCCACCGCCCAGAGAACTCCCGCACAAGAAACCTCCGCTTTCCCAGAGGAGTTTGTGCCCGCGCAGCTGGCGAAGGTTTTGGACAAGTACTACGTCGAGAACCAGGACGCGGCGGCGGTTTTCCACTATCCGAAACTGGTTTTTGCGGGACCCGCGGGTACGGTGGAGGCGAAGGCGGTGGACTTTTACCTGAAAAGGAACGTGAAAGACCTCCCACAAAAAGTCCTGAAAGCGTGGAACGAAAAGTGCGCGGCCAAAGCGGAGGAGGGCGGGAGTACTATTGGTACTAGAACGGGAAAACCATACAGCAGTGTGGTCTCGTCCATTCACGGTACAACAATTCCCCAACCGCTCGTGCAAGTTGAGTGGCTGGTCACTCCGCTACCCGGCGTCGCTGCGCTCGTTAGTCAGCCAGTAGTGCCGTCCTCTCTGCAGGCTGGAGTTGTTTCTGCAGTAGGACAAGTGAAAAAAACGAGTCCGGATGTTCCGGCAACTACTACCGCCTGCGAAAGTCCAAGTTCCGGCACCAGGCCCAGTTCGCCATTCACCGTGCACTTCGCCCCCGCGTACGACTCCTGCGTGGATCTGCAAACCTTCCACCGTAACCTCCTCTGTTTCGACTACAGTGTGCCGAATAAAGAGGAGAGGAAGCGGTTCACCGAGTGGTTGCTGAACGAAAAACTCGCGACGGCAGCAAACAGTGCCTCCTTGCGGCAAAAGTTCAACGACCTTTCAACCGCGGCGATTGCGCAGCTGGTCGAGACCGTGTTCAATCATTTGACCTTGGACGAGATCGAGTTGCTCTTCTTCGCGGCGCTAGCGGAGCAGGAGAAGAACGCCAGTCCCGGGGGTGTTCTGCTGCGACACTTCGAGAAGGCGAAGGAAGCACTGCAGTGGACGGAGGTTGGCTCGAAGAAGAGAAGATCCGTCATGTCTATGTTTTCTTCACCCACGACCACCACTGAAGCTCTTTCGCAGCACCAAGACGCGACGTCGAGATCATGGGGAGAGCAAGTGGACGGCGTCGCAGAGCAGACTGCATCTACTTCGGAGGAGATGAAAAACAGCACGACTGTGTTGACCAATGCCGCGAGCGAGAATGCACTGTATATATCACAAAGAGCTTCTACTTGAGTGTCATACTAACTCGTCCGTGTGCAGGGAAATTAATAGATAGGTACATCTACCAGTGAGCAAAAGGAACGTATTTCCGAGGATAAAAGCGGCGGGCGGATTCAAGATGTTCTTCTTTTACACGAAACTGATCAGGTTGAAGGAGCTGCTGCCGAGCTGGCTGCACTTTCCGCCGGTTGTGTGGGGCCTGTTCGTATCAACTGTAAAAATGTCTGGGTCTGGAAAAATTCATGTTTGTCATGCTTGTCTGGCATGACTCTTAAATCTGTCATGCACGTTACCCAAGAGCTCCGTTTTTCTGTGATGCAAAAGCGCAGTTTGTCATGCAGAATAGGCAACACCTGAGAGCTCAGAAACTTCTCATGCTGAGTCAGCATTTGTAGCCTCATCATGAGACGCCCCCCAGCATCACAAGTTCCCAGACCCAGACATTTTTACTTTTGATAGTTCGCTTTTGCGTTGATCGCGCACTTCATGACGCAGTACATGTATCAAATGCAAAAATGTCTGGGTCTGGAAGAATGCGCGATTTGTCATGCAGCTTTTCCATGCGCCATGAGGTCTGGAATGCAGGACCTAGCATGACAGATTCTATGCGATCTCTCTCATGCCTGTCCTGCATGAGAAACTCCCTCCCGACTTGGTCAGAACTGGACGACTTTTGGTAATCATGCAACGCAGATTTTTGCATGCTTCAGATGTAGCATGACAAGTTGCATTCTTCCAGACCCAGACACTTTTGCACTTGATAACATGACGCACCGAACGAAGCAGCATCGCGGCCCCATGGCGGGGAAGGGAGGAGCCGCGGTATCAAATGTCAAAATGTCTGGGTCTGGAAGAGTCATGCTGTTTTTGCATGACACAGAAGGTCTGGCATGGAAGCTCTAGCATCACAGGTTTCGAGAAGCTTCCGCAATGCCGAATCCGCATGACAAGTCCCCTACTTTGCTGACAGAAAGTGTGCAGCTACTTTTGCTACGTATGCATGAGAGACTTTTCTGTGTTCTGAAATACGCATTACAAGTTGCATTCTTCCAGACCCAGACATTTTTGCATTTGATACGCGGCGCAGAGGATCAACTCCATGTTTCAGCAAGGCAAAGGCGGGCATTTGCTGAAGGGGAAGAACGCCGGGAATTCCATGGAGGAACTCAGTATCGGAGGGAGAGGACTCTTGGAATCAACAGTGAGCTTCGTTCTTTCTGCGGTCATGAGAAGAAGCGTAAACGTATGGATTCATTTTCCGCAATCGGTCGCAGCAGCGCTCGCGCTAAGTGGTTCGTTGGGGATATGACAGCACACCTAACCGCCGCTTCGCAGAACCCATGAATGATCAGAAGTGTGGCTTGCTTGCTCGCAAAAATACACATTATGTGGTTTAGGTTTTGTTGCACCACCTTCGATAATAAATTTGATTGATTCAAGAGTTTTTTTTCCGCCATACGCTTGAAGATGGTCGGTATGGACAACAAGGGCGGGATTGGTGGCAAGGCGGACCTGCTGAACCTGATGAAGGGCGCTGCTTCTATGGGTCCCGGCGGGAAGCAGGCCGGTGCGACGGCGTTTCCCGGTGCAGTTCCCGATTTCGGCAAGGGCGGGGGCGACTTCACGTTTGCAAACGGCAATGGCGAGGATGATTTTGACTATGACGACGAGGAGGATTACGAGGTGCCGGCTAGTGGGGGAACTACAACATCAGCAGCCCGGGATAAAAATCCCAAAGCGCCGGGAGGTAGTAATACCAGTACAACTTCTAGTAGAGCGAAAAATATCAATTCCGAGAATTTGGGCAAGGGTAGTGGTACTACGAACAGCAACAGAGCTAATCAGCTGCACCAGCAAAATAATAAATCCGGTGACAATTGGCAGGAGCAACTGGTGGAACTGCTTTCGGACCAGAACCTGGATACAAAAAACACCACGGTGGACGAGATGATGCGGATGCTGGCCGGGGAGGATGGTGCTGAGGCGACAGGTGTTAGTAATACGAGGAATGGCGCGGCAAAAAAAGTGAAGTAGAAAGACGGGAATGTCGGTGTGTACTGACCTGAAATCTTCGATTAACGGACTTTTTGAATGTACGAAAGAAAATTGAAATTCTTTCAAGATTTAGATTTTTGTGATCGTCGACCCATGTCTTTCACAAGTGAAAGCTTCGCGCGCACGGCCGCACCAGCGCGCACGAGCGTGTTCAGCAGGATATGTCTTTTGTCGCCACCGCTATATTGTTTTTTCTTTTTTGCTTTGTATACAAATACAGGGGTACCCGTACCCACAACTACTTATCTATCAAGTTGAGTACGTAGTTACTCTATGCGGAAGGGCTACTTCCTTGCTTTGCACTCGCTACGGAAAGAAGAATGAGCCTCAAGCTTGTGTAATATAGTCCACTTTAAAAAGCCGTTTTGAGAAAAAAGCGAAGATGTTGCGCGCCACGCTGTCTGTGACTTCGAGCCAGCAGGGCAATCCGTACCTGGAGTTGGAAGACGAACTGTCGAGCAGGCTGGTGGCACGCAGAGAGGTGGAAGAAGAGGAAGACGAGCCACACCGGCATCCAAGCAGAACAACTGTCCGAGGCGGAGCTGGCTTGCCTGCGTGGATGTTCTCGGCGTGTTCTACTCCGTGCTCAACGAGTGACACTTTTTCCACCTCCTTCACGTCGACCTTTGCGAGAAATGTGAGTCTGTGCGTGTTACTTGTGAAGACGACCCTGCCGTTTATTCTGTCGAACCTGCTGACGTTTTTTCCGGACGTGGTGAACGTGTACGTCGCGAGTGGGAGCCTTGTCTATAAAAATTCCGGCGCATCTACTTCGGACTCGGAGCTTGTAGATGTCTCCCCACCCGCATCAACACGGACGACTCTAGTCCCGGCCATTGGCCTCGGGCAGCTGGTGCTGAACGGGCTGACGTTATCTCTCGTGTCCGGCCTCAACCAAGGCCTGGATGTGTACGTTCCGAACAGCCATTTGGCGAGCGGCAAAGAGTACTTCGCGCTGGTCTACCTCGGGCGGGCGCACGCGCTGGATTTGCTGCTCTTGGTGCCGGCGGTGCTGGGCATTCTGCTCCTGGCCGGCCCGTGCGGGCTGGACTTTTTGCTCGACGCCTACCTCGCTTTCTTCCCGGAAGCGGACGGCACCGGTGTCCGGGGCATCGGCGGCGCGATCGTTGCGCAGAGCGCCGCGTTCTAAGAAACGGGACCCAGTAGAAGGTGTAGTACTCCCGCTGCGCTCTATCGCTCGCACCTCGCACCGCTGGCGTATGGCTGCGAAAGAGCGAAAGCGATCGCACTAGTAGAGACGGTTTGTAGTAGGTATGGTTTCATCGGAAGGGAACGTGAAAAACTGGTTCATGCGAGTGGGCGCGCAGTATGGTCAACTATACGTGAAGACGAAAATGTCGGCACATGCGTACTTAGATAGAGTTGCAACCGTAGATTATGTCATCCGCGATCCGCTCGGTATACATTCATAAAAACATATCTTGCGTAGAGTTTTTGTCCTCGAAGATCGAGGCCCTAGTGAATCATTTTCAAATCTGAGCGGCATGAAGATCACAAGAAATCGCATCTTTTTTTCCACTTCGGCGCCATACCAGTCTTCGGTACTGCTGTTGCGGCGCGCCGTTCTACGTGTTCGCCCACACCGCCTACCGGTATCGTAAGGAAAAATCCCTCCTCCCCATATCGAAAAGGCACGCCTCAGAGAATTTGCGATGCTGATTTGTGACCGCAGATCGTGGCGGTCTTGCAAGAAAGCAACGGCATAGGCTCCGCCCCATTATGCAGCCGGTTTGTAATGCTGTTGGGCCTACAGCATATACGTTCCCCATACTAAGCGCCTAGGCCAAAACCGTGCTACATTGGCACGATATGGGCCTGCAGTCCTCTACTGCAAGACAAATCCGATTTGTGTACGCAAATCCAGCATCAGACTTTTCATTTTGATGCGAAGAGGGGGGATTTTTCGTTTTGATAACCGGTTCACCCTCTTCCGGGGGAAGGTGGTGCTGCTTCTGCCCGTGCAGGTGCTCACGTCGCTCCTCCACCTTTTATGGTGCTACGTCCTGGTAGCAGTCGCGGGTCTGGAAGTGCCTACCGCGCTCGGGCTGGCGAATTCGGCGACCTGGGTGCTGCAGTTTGTTGGCTTCTATATTTTGCTCTGCCAACTGGAGTGCAGCTACGAGAAGTTTGACCTGGCGGGAGGTGCAGTGGACCCCGACCAGTCGTCTGCAAGTGCGGGAGCCGCCGCGGCGGAGGGACCACCGAGGAAGCTTCTTTTTCCCGAGCATGATCTGCGTGACGCGCCGTTAGAGGACGACGCGGGCATGAAGATCCCTCCCCTGCCGACGCGAGGCTCCCGGTCGGGCTCGTTTGCCGGGTTGAGCCTGGATCTTATCGACACGCACGTGGCCTTGACGGCGTCCAGGCCCGTGGTGGTGGACAATGCTTCACCCGCGCGAGCGGAAGTACAGGTAGACGAAAGCGTGTTGCCTGTCCATGCACGAGAGGAGGAGAGCAGAAGCAGAGCCGCAAGTAGAAGTGCGGAAGCAGTTTGCAAAACACAAAATGAGAACAAACTACCACACGACTACACGAAGAAATTGTTGCCGGAAGAAGTAGTGAAGAATTCCGCTAATGCAACAGCTTCTGCGGCGTCTCTTCACACTTCCGTGCAAGAATCTCCGGAGCGTCAGTTTCTCGCGAGATCCTCCACAGTGGGCTCCTCATGTGCCGCCGGTGCCGCCAGCAGCGCTTTCAGTGCAAGTCGTACTGGCAACTACGAGCAGATGCAGGAGACCACGGGGAGCGACGCTATGATCGAAGCACGGCGCAACAGCAGTACTTCTGCCAGGAACGGGGATTACAAAGGCAGCCCCTTGATGCGGTCTTCAACGGCAGGACAGTACGTGGGCCAGACCACTAGAACAACGAACAGCCCCCGGAAGCAGTCGCGCGCCCCGCGCGCACTGCAGTACCAGGCGATCCGGGACTACCGGGAGAAATCGCTCGTGTTGTCCCGTCGGGAGAGCAGCGGTTTGGACGCCGCACCACCACATGCGGATGATTTTGACCAGGTGTGGGCACCGGGCTCTCTGAATGGAAGTAGGCATATTATGGCACCAGAAGATGTTACTGGACGTCGAAGGAGGAGCAGCATGACGAGCGTGGATCCGTTTCAACAAGATCTCGACGACGATCCTCCTGCGCGTCTTCCCGATGGTAGTAATGTTGAAAATGCGAGCAGATTGACAAGTTCGTCTTCCACGACGAGCCTGTTTGTTCATCAGCAGCGAGGAGAGCTGCAAAGCGGCCGACGGAGCGTGACCGGGAGCTCTCCTGGCGGTGAAAAACACGACCACCTCCGTGAGCGGTACTATCCTAGTGCAGAGGTGGTCGGGGACACGAAGTATCAGACGACAAGTAGCCGAAACTACTCCGCGGTCGGACCTCCGCTGGAGCAGCCGCTGCTTGCCCGTGGGGAAAATGAAGGAGACGTAAACGAAGAAGAACCTGGTGACTTCCTCGAGGACGACCCGCGGGTCACGATGAGTCAGAATCTTTCCCTGCTGTCTCCGACGGCGTCGTTCGTGGGGAAACTTCTCCGCGAGTCCTCGATGAATTTGTCGCAAATCTCGAGGTCCTACGCGACGTAGAAGGGGAGAAATCTTCGCCATCGCCGCCAGTTCGTGATGCCTCTGTGCATGTGGATGAAATGAAGTTTATGCAAATTATCAAGTCATGTTGCCTAATATATCAAAACACGCATTTACTTATAATTGTGTTGCAAAATCATGGTCGTGATGGTCTAGGAGAACACCCGCATTTTCGCCGGGATAGGTCCGTGTCGCTGTCCCGGCTGCCGAGCAAGGAGCGGAAAATTCCGCTGAAAGATGTGTTTTTGGTGTTCGATTTCACCAACAGCGATATTTGGTCCGTCAAGTCACTTTACCGCTACGCCCGGCTCTCGCTGCCAACGGCGTTCACGCAGCTCTTCACGGTGTTGCGCTACGAAAGCCTGCTCTTAGCGGTCTTGCTTGTCCAACATCAGCAGCAGCAGAGTTCGGAGATATTTTCCCCTTCTTCTTCCTCTTGGGCGGGGGATAGATATGCTACAACCCAACCACCTACATCACAAGAAGCACTGGTAGGACAGTCCGCCGCAGCCTCACCTCACTCGGGATTGCAACCGCCGGAAGTTCTTGTTGGGGGCCAAGAAGCAACCGCCAGTGCATTAAATCTTGCTGGCGAGGCCAACATGTTCTTGAGCTCCAGTAGCAACACAACCCCCGTGGATTTCTTGTTGCAGGTAATCCTGACCAATCTCTACACGTTAGCGCTGTTGATTCCGCAGGGGGTGAGCTTTTTCCTCCTGCTCGCGATCGGCGAGTACCTGGGGTCTGGGCGGCCGGATATTGCCGCGGAATTGGCCCGTGTCGGCCCCACGTTCGCCGTCTTCGTCGCGCTGGCAAGCCAGCTGCTGTTCCTCAGCTTTGTCCGGGTGGATGCGGTGATGTTAGGGTCTTCATACGACAGCGGCACAAGGCAGGACTCTTGGGAACAAAAAATCGCGAAAGCGGCTGCAGGTGAAGAGGATCGCACGGTAGATTGTTTTGGCGCGACGAGCAGTACCCCACTTTCTGGAGCGTTTCCTTTTCCAGGACCTTCACCAGCGGCAGCCACAGTGTGCTCGCCCGACAGCACCACGTCGGGGAAGCACGGCGGTGTGTTCACGGCGGTGGCGTATCGTCAGGGAAAATAATGCCTCCTCCCCATATTGAAAAGGCATGCTTGTGAAAACTTTTGATGCGTATTTTTGGCCACAGGTCGCGCGTGTCTTGCAAAAGAGCGTGAATTCAGAGCGTTTGCCGTATTATGCAGGCTATTTTTTGCGGTGCTGCGTCTATAATAGAGCAGGCCTCTGCTATGCTAAGAGCCTACGCCGAAACATTATAAACACCCCTGGCTACTTACGCAGGCCTAGGATTAACCTGCAGACCCTCACTACAGGACAAAGCGGGTTCGTGTGCGCAAATCGCGCGAGCGTCACAGATTTCCAGTTGAGTAGGGGGAGGGGGAAGTTTTCATTTTGATATGGGGGAGCTGCTGTTCAGCGTGTACCACGTGGAAGAAGCGTCCGCCGCCGACCTGGCGAGCACGCTGCAGGTGCTGTTCGCGCAGTTTCTACTCGAAACGTTGTCCCTCTCGTTCGCGAGCATAATCCGGGCCTGCGCTTTCTGGCGGACGGGGTTTCTCGTTTACGGGCTGCAGGTGCTGTGCAACCTGCCCGTCGTGCTGTTGCTGCAGCAGGTGGCGTTTCACTCGAAGGGGTCGAGTACAGCAGGTCGTGGTTTTGGAGCCGGTTTGCTTTCAAAAACAAAACCTCCAGCGAAAGCTTTTTCATCTCCTGCTCCTGCCTCGAAGGACGAAACAGCGGCAGGCAGCATGCAAAGTTCTTGCTCTATTCTGCTGCCCATTTGGACCGGTGCCTTGCTCTTGTCGGTTTGTGGTGCAGTGGTCTTCTACAAGAAGCTGAAAACCATCGACTTTTTGCAACGGAGCGAGGCAGCGAGAAACCGACTTCGGAAGGAGTACTGGAGGCTGTGAACAGTAGCAGGAGGCCGTGCCTGTTTATTGCTGCCGCTTACGTTTAGAAGAGGTTTGAGTTTCTGCATGAGAAATAAATACCGACACACAAACTCATTCTACGTGCAGTACAGTGCAGTGCGTTCCTTCGGTTTCTCCATCATCATTTGCGGCAAGTCGTGTTTCTCGTGCTGGCTCGCCCGCAGGAGTGCGTTCCCCTGATGGCACTTTCCGGTTCCCGGTGGTTCCAAACAGGTTTTCATTTTCTGCAGCACTTAGATTTAACTCCCTTAGTTGACCACGCAAGCGCACTGTCAGGGGTTGTCGTCCGCTCCTTTCTTCGCGGATTCTGTAGTAAACTGGTGTTATCTACTTCTATCTTGACAGCGTCGTTATGTGAGCGTGCAGAAACACATCATCGTATAAATCAGGATCCGATCAGTGTTTTTTTTTCGTGGCGCACAGCGAGCGTATTTTCGTGTCTTGGTTGGTACATGATGGAACTGTAACCGCTGACAGTCGTCGTGCCTCCGTCGTTCAGTAAGAACATGTTCGATGATCTGGTAACCAAATGCGTGCGCGCGCGCGCGCAGAGCGCGCGCCGGCCCACGAAGCCGGCGCGCGCGCTCTGCGCGCTTGCGATATTGCTTAGCAAACGCAGCGCGAAGGCAGTTGCCGTTACCATATAGGGCAACCGCCGGGAG